AACGCCTCTTGTCGTGACCAGGTTGTCTGCACTTCGAGCATCGCTTCGGTCCCCGCCTCGTGCGTTCAACTTGATCCATCTCATTGTGTATCTTTTCAACTCTAGGACGACCCTTGGTGCGTTTTAGGTGCAACGATGGGATAATCAACTTCCCAGCGTATATAGGCCAATACGCTTCATCTGGCATCGGACTCAAAGGTGCATAATATGAGTTCCGTATCGCTTGTTCAGTGTAGTAAGGACTCACCAAAGTGTTTTTGTTCATGGTTAATGACTTAGACTATCTCCAACCCAAGCATGCAAATTTGGAGAAAGGGAGGTTTTTGGCTTTTTTTCATCTCCAACCCACCAATTATTTGGCTTGCAAATTTGGAGAAGTGGGCTTGGGGATGGATAGATAGAAGCTCATATGGAAAAATGCAAGGAGAAGGTGGGGGACCAACCATGAACCCAAGCCAACACGCTGGGGCCCTCCACTTTCCAACATCTTTATTTTTATTTTTATTTTTACTTTCTTAATTTTTGATTGGTTGGTTATGAGTTGAGAAGGCAAATTTAGAAGGTTTAGGGTTGGAGCAAAAATGTGTTTTTGGAAGGTAAAAATGCACATTTGAGAGCTTGAGAGGCTAAATATAACCTTTTGGGTTGGAGTTAGTCTTACCTACTGCCATTGCATGTGAACAGGGTATCCTCTCGTTTTGATATTTTTGACATGTACACCCCCCTGATTCGTAGTGTAAAGTAACTATTTGACGATTGTGGCCACGTCTACCTCCACCCCATACACCTGTTTCCACTGCAAATATCCCTTCACTGCGATCGAAAAGAACAACTTTATGCTTACTTGATTTTTCTTCGTTCTTCTGCATTTGCTAAAAAACGTCATGTGCTATCGGATGACCAGATATCTCCCTCCCTATCGCTAGCTGCAGCCGAGCCACCCGCCAATCGTTGACCTTCCAGTATGACATCTCCACTATGACAGAAATAGGCATCGCTCGAAGGCCCTTGTACACATTATTTATACTTTCTCCATGGTTGGTAGTTGCAATGCCCCATCTGGCCCCGTTGTCCATATGGAACGTCCACATGGCCAATTCTTGACCTTCAGCCCATACTACTCCAGCTCGGTGAGTCTGACGGATCGCCTTCATCTTCTGCTCGTACTTTTTGGCTGATGTGCAACCGCTGCAAGGTGAACAATATAGAAATGGTCAATACATGATAAACAACAAATTATTAAACACATAGATAACTTGCATTAAAGGACATTAGTACCTGCATGCCACAATTGATTTTTGATGTCTTTCTTCTTTCCAAATCTGTGTTGGAAATTGGCGAGCCAGTGTCGAATACACCAGCGCCATGTCCATCCCCACTCGTCAGGAAAACCACCCACGGCATTCCTAATCCCCGCGTGTAGATCGGATATAATCATAATACCCTCCCGCTGTGTCACGTGTTCGTGTAGTTGGTCAAAGAACCATGCCCAACTTAAGCTGTTCTCCCCTTCCACTATTGCAAATGCAAGCGGGAAAATCCGCCTGTTTCCATCAACGCCAGTGGCAATGAGAAGAGTTCCTCTGTACTTCCCAGTAAGGAAGGTTCCATCAACCTAATTAAATATTAGGAAGTAATTAGTATGAAATTTACTTGGTCTGCAAGAATAGAAACATTTCAAATAGTAAACATGTATTAAAATACCTGAATAACCGGTATGCAGAACGCAAACCCGTCAATGCATGGTTTGAAAAGCCCAAAAATACGGTGAAACATCAACTTCTCTTGTACTCGAACTTGATCCTCAGTGTATACATTGTTGTATACTGGCACGAAAACAGTCCCAGGGTTTGACTCCTCCATTGCGGCCATAAGTCTAGGGAGTAAAGCATACAAATCCTCCCAATCACCATACACCTCAGCCATGGCTTTCTGCTTTCCATGCCATGCTTTTTAGTACCATATTGTGTAAGAATGTCGATCCTTCACCTCGGCCATGATAGCTTTGACCTTGATATCTGGTTGTGCTTCGATAAGGTGTTTAATAGTTCTCCTAATTTTCTTTGCTTTAAGTTGCCTGTGATCCTGGGAACGTATGGACGAGGAGCAAGTGTGGTTGGTCTCGGCTTTTCGCATCACCCAGGCACCCTTTCTCTTCATATTTGCAGCCCGCAGTTTCCACGTACAGCCCTCTGGATCATTCTTGCATATGACATGTAATTGTTCACTATCAGAATATTTTACCTTCCACTCGAAATTGCGCCTCAAGGCCTCTTCGGTAAAGGCATCCTGCACAGCGTCCTTCGATGAGAACGTCATACCCACCTCCAAATTGGCCGTCGGATTATACACTGGCATACGGACAAAGTCGGGGGCATCATTCTGACTATGTAGAAATTGAGTTGGAACCTGTGTATAGTATGGCGTGGGTGCCTCACGAAATGTCGCATCGTCGTCGTTATCATCAGTATCTTCCTCCTCACTCACTGATCTCAAATCTTCCTCATTATCCTCGTCGCTTGAGTCAAATGGATAGCTGGGGCCAGAAGGATCAACATGACCACCATCACCAACATCGTCTTCTCGCTCATGTGAAGTACGCCCTGATCGAATGGTATTCTCGATTTCAGACCACTCTGGCCCCCAAGTAGGCCATTGAACGCCATCGACCTCAACAAATGGGGCTGGTTGATCCTGTTGGGAGTATTCTTCCGATGGCACCCATCCTGCACTACTACCTCCACCGTAGTTGATTGAACTACCACCCTCTCCATAACCTCCTGTATAACCACCTCCTTCGTAGTTGCTCGAACTACCATCCCATCCGTACCCTCCTGCAAAACCATCATCATAAGAATACTGGTGAGAATAAGTTTCACCGACCGCCTCGGTCTCAACATACACCTCTGCAAGCCGCATCCCGTTATCGCTTAGGAACTGTAACATCATCGTAACCGCGTCATCATCGTTTATGACAACTTCTTGGTACACAACCCCGCCAGCACTCATGTCTGGATATCGGTAACTAATTTTGTCAAGTCTCGTCTGTCCGCTCGTACAAACCTTGTCTGCAAATATCACGGAGTTCTTGAAAATTGAATCGCGACTCAATTTTCAGCATAGTGGATTCACCGTTCTCATAATCAATCCCTGTGTCAGAGTTTGTCACCCTTCCATTCCACCGAATAATAAGCCGAAACTTCTTGAATTTACCCAGATCTACAATTTACAATAAGTTAAACTATTAGCTAAAGACAGTAAAATTAACCAAAACCATATTGTACGACTAATATTACTCCATCTCATAACTAACGTAACATAAATTCAACTAACTAACAACAACATAAATTCAAAAATTAAGTACTACAATTGCTACGATAAGTAATTCATAACATAACAATATAACTACTAAAAACATCATTAGGCTATAATACGAAAATTAAATCATACTATAACTACTAAAAACCCATCATTAAGCTATAATACAAAAATTAAATCATACCAAAAAATCATGTTCTGTGTATTATGCTCGGTTTTGGTTGCTGAAATTTGAAGAGGGGGGAGTGGTTATGTTTTTATAATTGCTGGTGGCCTGGTATTTATAGGAAAATCTACCTACTATTCACCGTTTTTATCAAACACGGTGAAAACCATCACCGCGTTTGTCTCAAACGGTGAACATTAGGTAGCTGTTACCTAATTTTCACCTAACAGGGGTTGAAAACGTGCATAATACTCACCGTTTTAACCTAGAACGGTGAAGGTATTCACCGTTTTGCCCTAAAACGGTGATATATTCACCGTTTCCTACTAAAACGGTGAAATATTCACCGTTTCCTACTAAAACGGTGAAATATTCACCGTGTTTGTCAAACGGTGAATGCCAAACATGTATAGTTTTGGAAAATTTTTTTTTATAACTTATGTATTTTGGGAATTTTTTTTAAGAACATGTGTATAGTGAGATTTTTTCCAAAAATTATCATACTTTACCACTATGGTATGTGGGTGGTAACTTGTGGTAAACAATGATGAAAGTTGTAAATGACAGTTAGTATACTTCTACTATCATGTATCCAATCTTCTTGCCATATTGGTATGTTCATACCATCATGATACGCTTTCTTACCATATATGGTATTAAATATGAGCATACCATATGGTAATGACTGGTAAAAATTATTCAATTTTTTTGTACTAAATATATCAAAGTGGATATCATTTTAAAGAGCACATTTAATATGATTTATCTGTGCAAAAAAAATTAAATTTTGACTTAAAACGAGAGAGAAATCGTCCGTTAAAGATTCGAGGGGAAAAGATAAAAGACTTTCCAGGAGAGAGGGGATGCTGATGTCATGCGGATGTGGACATGTTACTGATGGTTACTCACCATAGGAGTTACTGACGTGATGCGCTCCCGTCAAAGAGTATATTGATAGAGTAGAATTTAAGCTTTTATAATGTTTGGATTCTCTTAACTTTGGTACGTGGATTAGTATCTAGCACTTAACAACCCCCACTTATTATTCAAACAAGCCTATACACTAAATCATAATAATTTATACAATAAGCATTATTTTTTCGTATTCTTTCATATTTGAGATTTTGAGGCATAATCTTTTCTTTATTCTCTTGATTTTCTTATATACTTTCAATTTCTACCAATTCTAGATGACATATATTTCCTTCCAACTCCAAATTTATTTCCGATAATAAAAAGTTCACAAATTTCTTCTAAGATATAGGGAAAAAATACAAAACAGTAAACTAGGACGACTTGATAAAAACATACATACTAACTAATTATCGCTAATGTTATAATCAACAAATACCATAAAGGTTACTTTAAAATAATGAATTAGCTATTTTAGAAAACCTCAAATTATTTTAAAACATAAAAAAATTGATCAACATAAAATAAAATTCATCCGACCAACGAGTCAGGTACATATTTTGAATATAATTATAAATTAACCAATGTTAAAGGTAAAACAAAACTCATTTGATTAAAGACCGAGTAAAAGCTAGTTAGGAATTAGAATGATGTTAACCCTCTATGTCGTTAGCATTTAGCACCCTACCTTCTCCCTTCCGAAACAGCAAACAAACTGGGCCAAGGCCCAAGTGAATCCGAGCCCATTCAAACAAGTGAAATGAAATCGCTGCCGTTTGCCGGGTAAACGCCATTTTTGTTTTTCTCTCACCGGCAGTGTAGAACCAGGTAAAATCCAGCCAACAAGCCACCACTTTGAATCCCGTCCAAGGAGAAATCAGAACACGATGTTTGGAATCTCTTACGGCGAACTCTTTCTCTTGCTAGGAGCCACCGCCGCTCTGATCGGTAATTTAAACTCCTTGCTTTTATTCTTTCAATTGCCCGTTGGCCACAACAATCTCCGGTAAAAGAAATTTCTAGTGTTGGAAGATTTTGATATTTTTAAATGAATTGTGCCCAATTAGGACCAAAAGATTTGCCTGTGATAGCGAGGACTGGAGGGAGGCTAGTTGGTCGAGCGGTTGCTTACGTTCAATTGGCCCGCGGCCAGTTCGAGTCTGTAATGCAGCAGTCTCAAGCTCGTCAGGTACACGTTACCTTCTGGATATAGGTTATGGGTGTGTTTCTAATGGGAGATGATTTTGATTTTGATAATCGCCTCAACCTTTTGAGCCATTTAGGTTCACAAGGAACTGCAAGATAAGATGACTCAGCTTGAAACCATACTTTATGAGATTAGAAGCGCTTCTACTTTGAGACCTGGACCAATGACTCGGAGGATGATTGATGATCTTGCTGATCCATCTGCTGCTGCTGATGGTATCTATGGTTCTCAGTTTTTTTCTAGTTTGATCAATGATCGTTGCTTATCTTTCCTGCTGATGGGTTTTCTAATCCTTGGTTGGCTTGGGTTTTCTGGGGAACCTAGGCAGCGGAGTGGCTGAAACTTCCGGTGTAGTGAATGTTTCAACAGCTACTGTCTCTCGGATTTCAAGCGACCAATCTCGTTCTGAGAGTATATCCGCAACTGCGGTCTCCAAGGTTTTAGCCGACTGAGTAAACTAATGTGCTTCTTATGTTCTGGATCATGACCTGTGGGTGGAGTTGAAGATACTGATTACCTAATCATTTATTTTTCTTCTGTTTGCTATCAAGATCTATGCTTCTTCATTAGTCTCGGATTCATCCAATGTGCACAGCCAAGCAACTGCTTATGCAAGGTTGGCAGAATCTGCAGCCGTTAAGGCTAGTTTGGTCTCGGAACAGAAGATTGATGGTCCAGGTCTCCTTCATGTTTTGCCTGTTTCGGCTGAAAGTACTGGAATGCTACCTAATCGTCAGGGTAGTACTGCTTACTTGAGCTCTGTTATTACTGTATATGTTGGATGCCTCTCGCCAGTTTCCTACTGCTTTCAGTTTAAAATTGGAACCACGGTCATAGTGTTTCTTGTACATTAAAATTTCAAAAGAGAATCAGTTGAAAAGATTGAGTATGACCGAGTCTTTGTAAAGTTTATACATATGATATGCACTTTCTAGCTTATCCAATTGATGATGATTCAGGTTTTGGCCGAACAGACATTTGACTCTATGCATTCGGATTGTCTGGCTTTACATAATTTTACTTATTCATTTATTTCTAACTGCAGATTACATATATGCTAATCATGAGGCTTTTCAGAGTGCTACATTCTTACTGAAGAAGTGTCCCTATTAATTGTAGTTGCAGATAACCTGAATGGATCAGACATTATGTTGGAAGCTTTAGTAGAGGCCGAGGTGGCTCACAATGCTAAGCGTTTCTTTGCCCAACCTGAAAATCAAATAAAGCAAGACGGCGAGGTAATGTGCTATTCAGTTTCTTAGTTATGTTACTGAAAATTAAGCCAGATTCAGGCTGAGAAGTGTAAGAAACTTCAGTGTCATTCCAAGCTTCCTGATCACATGTTGCGAGTTTCGAATTGCAGGTCGAGAAGAGATAGATATCCTCCATTCTTTCCCCAAAGCATGGTGAGGGACTATGAGTATGGGAAACTTATGCATGTAGGTCAATGTGATCAACATCAGATGCACGTCAAGCATTGAAATATGAGGTCCTGCATTATTATGATGTCCTCAGCGAGCTAGCATGGGCAACCTAACCCATCTTTGATATGTGAATGGTGGCAATGCATAACAGAAGATTTTACATCATCGTTATGGAGGGTTTTTGGTACAATAATGAAGATGGCTGATCTTCAGTCGACAGATTGACATTTTGATCTTCTTGCTAAGCACCGGTTTTGTACTAACGGTACTCGAACAATTTGAGTATCAGTGTCCATATAAGAGTTACTGCATTACTGCATCATTTAGATACCCAAAAATAACTGGATCACTGACACGGCATCTCCCCCTTTCTTTGGGTTGATCTGTTTGTAAAGATGGAGTGGGACGGAACATGCCAGTTTAAGATGTTAGGTGAAAGAGCAAATTGGCCGTCATATTAAATTCTGGTGCGTTTACTCAGTGATGTTAGAATTCTGTTGACTTTTGTTCTGGTCAAGCATTTGATGATTGCTTGCTGCAATTGCTTTCCACAGTATACAAACTATACATGTTTATCTTTGCCTGTTGTTGACTCTGAGAGTGAGAGAGTCTTTTGTGGTGCATCAGTCGACACACTTTCAGGTGGCAGAAATTTAGGGGTCGTTTGGTTTTGGTGATAGTTTGGTTGGGATAGTTACAATGCATGCAATGTTCACAATGCATCGTTTTTTTGAATTTTCTACGCAAACAATACATGCATTGTTTGCTTGATTTGACACAAACTATCACTCAAAATGAGTGATAGTTAAATCTCAAGTTTTCGTTGAGATTGTTTGATGGAGATTGTTGTGTTTTCTTCTTCTTCCAAATATGTCCCTACCTTTTTATGTGTGTTGCTTTTTTATATTAAAAACAAAGGGTAAAAGTGACATTTCACCCAAAAAGTGATATAATTTATTTAAATACTACAATAACTATCACAGAAACCAAACGATGTAAACTACAATACACCAATTTTCTTATATACATGTATATTATTATGGGTAATTATCCTAAATGGTCACAAACCTTTACACTTTGTACAAAACGGTAACAAACTTTTATTTTTGTACGATTCGGTAATAAACTTTTAACCGTATAACAAAATGATCATTCCGTCCATCTCCGTCCAAAATTCTGTTAATTTGATCCAGTCAGCACTCCACATCATCCAAATTAATAATAAAATAATAAAACTTAACCAAACCGAACAAGAACGAAAAATTAGTCTCCACCGACCACCATCAATGCTCTCTCCCAATGGGACAATGACATAAATATTGTTTTTTTTTTAAATTTACCACGAATATGGCCAATTAATAACTATTGACAAAGATATTGTGTTTTATACATCAGAATTGGCGGGTACACCTGAGACTCAGGCGCCGCCGCTTAAAACTTGGTTTTTGGACCGTTTTATTAGACTCGGGCGGTGGCGCCCGAGTCTCAGGCGGCGGCGCCCGAGACTGAAGCGAGTAGGTGGGAAATCAAGACTCCGGCGGTGGCGCCCGAGACTGAGGCGAGTAGGTGGATTGGCCACCCACCCTATAAAACCCAGACAGACATTTCGTTTCAGATTCACACCACAAAAAAAATCGTCCAAAATAGAGGAGAGAGCTCTGGTTGCTGCTGCAAAAATGGCTAGGTAAGAGACACATTTATTTTTGTAATTATATTATTCAAATGCTATTATGATTGTGTTTAGTTTTTAATTAGTGAGTTTGTTTTTTTGTAGTGATTTTAGAAGATTTGAACTAGTTGTTCGGTGGAAATCGGAGAAAGTAGAGGATAATTTGGGTGTCAAATTCGTTGGTGGTAGTAGTTTTCAGTTGACGGTTCCATCCAGAGTCACATATCACAAACTTTGTGAGACTCTAATTCCGAGAATACGGCGCAGAGACGAAGCAGTAAAAGATAGTGATGTGATCACAGGTTTCACTTACCGTCTTCCAGAATGGCAGAATGATGTTTTATTTCATTATGCGTTACCTATTGTGGATGATGATAGCTTGGATGTGCTTTGGAATTTTATGGCACAAAATCCTTATTGTTTGGGTGCTGAGATACATGTTGAGCTCAGTGATGATCAGGGTGGAGAGGAAGAAGATGATACATGGAGCGTGCCATCCGATCATGACTATGATCACGGTGATGATGGAGAGGAGGAAGATGAGGAGTAGGAAGAGGAGGAGGAGGAGGAGGAGGAGGAGGAGGAGGAGGAAGGAGAGCAACTTAATTATCCTCCATATTTTTACTTGCAGGGCAATGAAGATGACGAAGAATTTGCACTTGCTGATTCATATGGCGTAATTCCAATGCCTATTTTGATAGTTTTGAAGGAGAATTCTACAAGGGGCAGATATTTCACTCGAAACAAGCTGCACAGATGGCGATTAAACACCACGCACTACAACGCAACTTTCTATATGGCGTGGTGGAGTCGTCACCTTCAATATGGAAGGTCAGATGTTTGAGGCACAAGGATGACAATTGTCCTTGGATGGTGCGGTTTGGATGTCGAGATGTTGGGGGCGAATGGACTGTGAGAAAAGCTGAGTTGGTGCATTCTTGTAGCAGTACGACTCAACCGACGGATCATCGCCATCTTGATGTCGACATGATATCTGAGGCCGTCAAACATTTGGTACGTGCCCAACCAAATCTGAGTGTTCTAACTGTTCAAGCCGAGTTGAAAGATAAGTTTAATATGCAAGTTACTTACAAGAAGGCTTGGTATGGGAAACAAAGAGCATTGGAGAAGTTGCATGGAAATTGGGAAGAATCCTACGATTTTTTGCAAACATTCTTGCGGGTGGTCAAGAGAAAAATGCCAACATCGGTGATTGATTGGGTAACAGTTCCTTCGACTCAACCTGGTCATTTAATATTTCAGCGAGTATTCTGGGCTTATGGACCTTGTATAGATGGATTCAAGAATTGTCCAGGCGTCATGGTTGTGGATGGAACATTTCTTACTGGGAAGTATAAAGGAGTGCTACTCATGGCGAGCTCATTTGATGGCCGGAGGAAGATTTTTCCAATTGCATTTGCCATAGTGGAGAGCGAGAATACTGAGAGTTGGCCATGGTTCATGAGGAAGGTTCAGGGTTTGACTGATCGAAATGATGTATGCATCATCTCAGATAGACATGCAGGACTCTATGAAGCCATGAATAACATCGGAAGAGGTTGGGAGTGGAGGTGGTGCATGCGACACTATGCAAGCAATTTGCAAAGGAAGACTCGAAGCAAAATTATGTATAATCAACTATTTCGAGTCGGTAAGCTTTCTTCATTTAATTTTGTTATTTGTTTTCATGTAATTTTGTCATGAATTTATCTAACACGTGTTGTGGTTTATTTTGTTAGCCGGAGAAAAACGGTTGGAGAAGTTTGATCGTCAAGTTGAGCAATTTAAGAAGGTGGCCGCTGATAGAAATATTTCATGTGATAACTGGGTGGATCAACATCAGATTCGTTGGAGTTTAGCACATGATAACTACAATGGTGGGGGTCGTTGGTCTATCCTGACATCCAACATGGCAGAAAGCGTCAATGGTGTTTTCAAAGGTATTCGTGCACTTCCGATAGCTTCTCTTGTGCAGCATACCTATTGGCGATTGGTGGAGAAATTCGATATGTATAGGTTGGAGACAGGAGCAGAAATTAGAAGTGGCGGTTCATAGTACTCCAACAAGTGCGAAGAGCTGATGAAGTACAGGTCACAAAAGGCAATTGGACATTCTGTGACAGCTCTTGATCGAGGTCAAGGCATCTATGTAGTTCAGACTCCTCCCAACAATTTCAACATGACAGGGTCAAACACACTCACAGTTCACTTTGACGATCAAAACCGGGCAGGATTTTGCACTTGTGGTAAATTTCAAGGAAATAAAATTCCTTGCTCTCATGCCATTGCAGCTTGCAACCGAATGGGGGCTAATGCGTATAGGTTTGTCAACAATGTCTACAAGCTGGAAACAGTGATGGCTTGTTATGGGACAAGTTTCGCACCTCTTGGTGAACCTAAGGGTTGGAAGAAACATAATGGTCCTATTCTCCATCCTAATGTGCACATGATTAGGAAGCCGGGGAGGCCACGAGTTACAAGGATCCACAACGAGATGGACTGGCCAAGGGAGGGTGCATCACACCAAGTGTGCAGCAACTGTAACCAAGCGGGACATAATGCATCAACTTGCGGCGGCCAAGCTAGTAGGAGTGGGAGCAACCGAGGAGGGAGTGGTGGCCAACGAAGTACGAGAGGTGGTAGAAGAGGAAGTAGAGGTAATAGACGTGGCTGAGAGGTGGTAGAAGTTGTTATATTTCTTTTGATTTACCATGTAAAAGTTGTTGTTTGTTTGAGATGTTGTTGTTTGGTATGTTGTTGTTATCTTTTGATTTACCATGTAAAAGTTGTTTGTTTGAGATGTTGTTTGTTTGAGATGTTGTTGTTTGAGATGTTGTTTGTTTGAGATGTTGTTGTTTGTTTATAGTACATAATAATAACAATCCAAAAATAATAGTCTAAATGAAGTACATAATAATAACAATCCAAAAATAATAGTCTGAATGAAGTACATAATAATAACAATCCGAAAATAATAGTCTGAAGGAAGTACATAATAATAACAATCCAAAAATAAACGTCTGAAGGAAGTACATAATAATAATAGTCTCACTGATGATCACCACGACGACCACCACGACGACCACCACGACGACCACCATGCGGCTAGATGGCCGCCAGTACCACACCTAGCAGGCACCCTGATGCGCACTGGTCTACCATCATACTCCTGGGGCTCATCTTCCTCAACTCCACCATCCTGGTCCTGTGTACCGAACATCTCATCCTGCTGAGACTGAAGATGCTCATCAGGCTGACCGCCACCACTACGCTGAGACTGAAGGTGCTGCTCATGGATCCACATCGTCTCCCTAAACACCTCATCACCCTCTTGCCACAGGTCGGGAGTCGCCGCTGCTCTAGTATCACCACCTGATGCCATGTTTCCCATCGTAGCATGCTGCGGTGTATGGAAGCTATCCTCTGGCTGATAGAAGCTCGATGACGGATCTGACTGAAACTGCTGTCGTCGCGGCGGCTGAAAGCTCGAGGAAGGATCTGACTGAAACTGCGTCCGAGGCGGATTAAACTGGAAGCTCCTCGATGTAGGCCGGATGGGCTGTGCTCGCTGTCGATCGGAAACCCGAAATGGGTTAGGTGCATCACGATGCTCACGTCTCTGTCTACGTGGCCTATGCTCCTGTCTGAACTGTGGCTCTGGGACGACCCAGCCCGGTGTCGGATCAGTACGCTCTGGCCAACCAGTCATGACGGGCCCCTCATAATGGCGCTGTACAGGTACTGTGAGATCAGGGTATCTACGATCCTCAAACCCTAGAGCAGCAACCCCGGATGCCATATAGTTGGCCAAGTCCTCACACTGGTCGGGGGTCAGCCCTCCAGACCGTACACCGTCACGCAAACTCACCTCAGCATGCTCGATAGTGTCGTACTAAAAAACACCAACAAAAATGTCAGATATTTCACACAATTAACAACAAATTAAGCAAATAAATCAAATAACTAACCAACGCCTCTGCTGCAGCTCCTCTCCGTGTGCCGGATCGTCTGGTGACATCTCTATACCACTCCATATGCTCCGAGTGGTAGGCTAACTCCTCATCAGTATATGGAGCCGTCGCTACAAACTCGTGTCGACGGTTCCAGAAAGCAATCGACTCTCTGGAGGCGTGTACCAACTGCTGCCCACGCGATGGCCCACGAGTAGCCTGGCGAAGAAAAAACCTAACCTCAGCCTCAGAATGTGGCTGATGAGGCTCATGCTGTCTCATGCCAAACTGCCGGAGCACGCGGTCTGGATGATGCCACATCACCGATGAAAAGCAGATAAGTGGCACTACTGCTCGAAATGTCTCCGACTGTAGCACACTACCTCTGAGATGAAGTGCTCTCTCAAAGTAAGGTTGCCACTACATTAAATCCAAAAATTATCGTGCAAACTGCTCTATAACCTCCTGTGATGCATTCTCCGGCAGATGACTGAATTCAACCCTCAGCCAAACAATCCTAACAACAGCGACACTGCCTACAAGATCGGCCGGAACTCGTCCCAACAGTCTCAAACAGATCGCCGACCACTCCTCATCCGGTATATCAACTACGACGGCATCACCGTCGATCGCCAGACCGGACAGTGTAACAACGTCCTCTAACGTGATCGTCATCTCACCACACGGTAGATGGAAGGTCGACGTCTCGGGGCGCCACCGCTCTACGAGCGCAGTAATCAAACTAGCATCGGGGTTCATAGGGACTAGGGGCACGACACTAAACAAGCCTGCCGCTTCGAGATATGGCTGATAAAGCTCATGGTAAGGTACTAAAATGGTCGTACCTCGAACATGGTACGGTCGATCACCAGCCTATAGTGCACAAAACTTATATTAATTCATTTTCATTCGTAATAATTCTAATTTCACCTAATAAATTCTAATCTGTCTTATCTAACATAAAATTATACTAATTTCACCTAACAGTTCAGTTCAGTTCACTACCTAAAATAATCTAATTAGCTAATTAACTTTACATGAATAATTATCAAATACTTACCTCGTTTGTCCAAACAGAGTCGATACGATGTTGGCCGTGTCCCCAAAGAAGTGTCGGATCGACCGGACTTGGATCAATTGTCGCCGGCGGTAATCTCATCGAATAAAGATCCATAAGCCTCGGAACTGCAAAACCAAAGCAACAAAACATTAAAAAAAACACAAAACATTAAAAAAAAATCAAACTGCCGACGAGAGTCTCACCGCGCAAACGGCCGCCGGCTCCACCACGACCTCGCCGACCTCTACCTCTGCCTCTGCCGGCGGCGACTGGTTCTTCGTCGGAGGACATCTCGGGCGGCGGCGGTTCAGTCCAAGGCGGCGGCGCTCCTCTCTGCGGCGGCGGCGCTCCTCTCTGCGGCGGCGGCGCCCGAGTGTGCGGCGGCGGCGCCTGAGTCTGGGACGGTGCTGCGGGCGGCGGGCGGCGGTTCGGGGTTGGGGTGGAGGAAGAAGAAGGAGGGAGAGGGGTCTGCTGGTTCGGGGTTGTGGGGAAGAAGGGAGGATATGTGTGGTGGTGGGGAGGGGATAAGGTGGGAGGGTATCAGGTGGGAGGGGCCCGTCCAAAATTAAAAAAAAATTAGTCCGGGGCGCTCCCGCCTGAGTCTCGGGCGCCAGCGCCTCAGACTAATTAAAAAAATTTGTCTGAGGCGGGGCCGCTTGAGACTGGGGCGCCGGCGCCCAGGACTGGGTAAAAATTTAGTCCCGCCTGAGTCTCAGGTGGTCCCGCCCCAATCCTTACTAAAAACCACAATATCTCTGTAAATAGTTTTTAATTGGCCATATTCGTGGTAAATTAAAAAAAAAAACTATATTTCTGTCATTTATCCTCTCCCAATTCCCTTTCCCCTCTCTCTTCTCTGCCGTTTGTCTCTAAGAATTCAACCTCAAATCCTTCCATTCCGTAGCAATGACCAAGCTCCACTCCTCCACCGCCGGCCCTGATTGTAATCAGGAAAGTCTTGGGGTCCGATTTCCACTTCTCCTTCTATGCAACGCGAGGCCAGAATATAAGAAGAGAAGGAACGAACAGAGATGGAGGCAAAAATTTTGGGCTCTCAATCCCGACACTCAGTTGACGGAACGGGAGACCGAGAGGCGGGAGACCACAGCTTCGACGAGAATAGTATCGATCGACTCCAGCTTCTGTTCTTCTGTCGATGGAGCCTAGCCTGAGAGAAGACGCTGACAAGGGCGCCACCGCCGTGATGAGTGTTTTGAGTAGGTCGGCTGGCCTGAGGGATGGAGAGGTCGCAACCCGCAACACCAGAAAAATGAAAGGAAGGAGCAGAGGCGATTGGAATGAGAGAGGCGCTGGTGTTGGATTCTATCGGTGGGAGCACGAAAGGTAGAAGGAGAAGGGTTTACTGAATGGGCTGCCCTCTATTCTCCCCAAGCTATGCCCAACTTTAATCAAAGGGTAGCAGAAGAGCGCCATTCTCGCCATCATAATTAGGCGCGCTCGTCGTTTTACTGGGAAAATGACTGGCTTGGAGAAGGAAAAGTGAAGGTTGTGAGTGATCGTCGGAGGAAGGAAAAGAAGTAGAGAGATCCGGACAGACGATAGGTTAGACGGTTGGGTATTGAGAGAGGTAGATGGGTTGCATCCGGTGGGTTGAGTGGTTTGGTCAAGTTTAATTATTTATTATTAATTTTGATGACATGGAGTGCTGACTGGATCAAACTAACAGAATTTTGGATGGAAAAGGATGGAATGATCATTTTGTTATACGCTTAAACATTTATTACCGAATCGTGCAAACACAAAGGTTTGTGACTGTTTTGTACAAAGTGCAAAGATTTGTGACCATTTATGATTATTACCCATATTATTATGCATGCATTGATGACAATACATCGATTTAACTATCACCAAAACCAAACGACCCCTTAGCAGCTGGAGTATTTGATTGATTCATAGATTAAGGTAAAAGTATTTATCAAAAGAAACTAGAGGTGACGATTGGATCGGATTGGTGGATTGGATTGGTGGATCCATGGATCAAATGGATTGGATCCAATGGATTGGTGGATTCATGGATTGGATCAAATGGATTGGTGGATTGATCCATGAATCCAAATGACATCCAAAGCTTGGACCAAAATGTAAAAATTGAAAAGTTTTGGTAAGCCTATGCCGAGGTTCTCTGTGAAAAAGGTTTGGCTTTCTATCTGTTCCTCTAAACATGAACTTCCTTGGTCTAAACTGATTTGGGGTAAGTTATTTATTCCTAAACATGCTTTGATCTTATGGCTCATCATGTTGGATAGACTCTACACTCGTGATAAGCTTGCTATATGGGGGAAGGTAGAGGACACAGCTTGTGTACTTTGTCCAGGAGGGGTGGAATCTCGTGATCACCTGTTTGCTTCTTGTTCATATACTGCTTATGTACTGCAGCATAGTTTGATCGACTTCCTTCCTCTCCCTGTCCACACTTCTTGGCATGACACTGTGTTATGGGCGGTACGGTTCTGGGATGGTGCTTCTATAAAGTGTAAACTTGGTAAGCTAATATGGAGTATGGTGATGAGCTATGTATGGAGGTAGCGATGTAGAAGGTGTTATGGCACGGGTTTGCAGCCCCCCCCCCCCCAGGTTGGTGGCCCGGATTCGATCTGAGGCTGGGTTTTTTATTAGTAGTCGAATAGATACTCAGAATTCTCTACCCAGTTTCCAATAGTATAGACTTTTTTTGTTTTTTTTCAGCCCTAGTAGTTTGATGGTTTTTGTAATCAGTATACTTTGTATTTTTGAGAGGGGTCCTTAGTTATAAGGATCCTAGAGCTTAATGCAATTTTGATTAACCATCGGAAAAAAATGTCATAATGAAAAATTTTAGGTACCAAAATGTAATTTTCCAATTATATTTTTCGTATAAAAATATAAATTTTAGGTACCAAAATGTAAAATATAAAAAATATAGGTACCAAATCGTAATTTGCCATTTCGATCCATGGATTGATTTATGAATCCACCAATCCAATTGGATTTGGATCAAATGGATTGGATTAGGTGGATAATTTGGTGGATGGATTTGATTGGATTCATGGATTTGGATTCTGATTGCCACTTCTAAAAGAAACAAATTCCAAATGAGGTTTGGATGATAGAGAAAAGGTTAGGTACTTGGTGTACTCGTATTCAGTTTTCATTGGAACATGAAGTTTTATTTGGCATTACAAGTTGTAAAACCTTGCTATTTGCTTATACGCTCTCATAGTGTATTGGAAGGGTGTGTATAGGCGATCGTGGTAATATACTAACATTTTTATATAATCATCAAAACTTGTACAAGGGTACAACTACTTTCTCATCGAAAAGGAAATATTTCAAATTTAACATCAAGATCAAGATAAAGAAGAAATTTGGCATTAAGAAATAACAAAGTAATACAACTATACGAAGTATTATGATCTATCTTGATTTTACATTATTAGGAAAATTATTCTCTCGTATATTGAGCATTATAGAGAGAAGACTATGATTAGGGCTTCTGAATAGCAACTCCTGGGAGCTTTGATTGATACCCTGAGATCGATAAAGAGAGACTTTCTATATATCTCGTATTTGTTTGTTGGTTTGCATTTTGTGCCCAATTGTTTAGGGAGTGAATCTTTTCTACCTATTCTTGTGTGTAGCTTATTGTTGTGCAAAGCAAGCATAATGACAGAAGAAACCTGAGAGGTACCTGCAAAAACATCGATTAAGCTCCACTTATAGAGAGTACATATTGATGAAGACGATGGCGAATCATTGATCATTGAAGAGAAAGATAAAACAATTGGTCTGAAACTAGCTGTGCAAAAGTTAGGGCTACTTGAGCACTTGGTAGCCCTATGAAACTGTTGTAGGTACTGAGATCAGAAAGAAGATCAGGAGAAGAAGAGAGTTGTGATTGGAAGGAGAGAACGAGAGAAGACAGTAGGGTTTTCGAGGAGATAGGGTTTGGGAAGTTTATTATTAATGTTCTGCGTAAAAACTGTTCCCAAAATACAAATGAACTTAAATACTCAACTCTCACTCAACTCTCAATTCGGCTAGTACTTCGGGTTGGGTTTGGGTACCCGAGCTGACCGTCTGGTACCTTCAACAATCTCCTCCCCTGCAAGATTGACCTTGTCTTCAAGGTCCAAATCTGGAAATCTGCTCCGCACGCCTCTATCGATTCCCACATCGCCTCTTCAGCTGGTAAGTGCTATCATTTCACCAGGGACTCCTCCAATTTTCCGGCTGACGCGAACCCAATGAGTGTCCAACACCCGCTCCACATTGAGCTTCATCTCACCATCAGTGGACACCGGAGGGCTCGAAATCTCAGCAAGTGTCTCCATCCCTCGATATGGCTTCAGCAAGGAGACATAGAAGGTGGAATGAATCCGTGCACCCTCTGGAAGCTCCAGCTTGTATGCAACCTGCCCAACGCGTGCCAACACCCGATACAGCCCGAAATACCGCGCAACCAACTTTTGGTAAGCTCGCCGGAATACCGAAGATTGACGATACAAATGAAGTCGCAACAAGACCCAGCCCCCTTCCTTAAACTCGACGTCGCGCCTGCCCGCATCCACCATCTTCTTTGTCTTGTTATTGGCGGTAGCTAGCGTCGCCTTCAGTTGCTCTAGAGCTTCATCACGTGCTTCTAACCATTGGTCGATCGCATCCACTAGACTCCTTCGCAAACTGTATTTCACGATCGTCGGCAGCTCACAACCATACAGAGCTTGGAATGGAGATGTCATGATAGTCCGATGGTGAGTAGTGTTATACCATAACTTGACCCACGGGAGCATTGCTAACCATTTCCGCGGCTGTTGGTGTGCGAAACATCGAAGATATTGCTCAAGGCACTTGTTGACGATCTCCGTCTGTCCGTCAGACTGGGGGTGATATGCAGAGCTCATGTGAATCTTCGTCCGAGTCATGCCAAACAGTTCCTTCCAAAACTGCCACAGGAAAACGACATCTCGATCACAAACAATGGTTGTCGGGATTCCATGGTGTCTCACCACTCCTTGCACAAATAGTTCGGCTACTGTCTTGGCCGTGTATGGGTGCGATAATGCCATGAAATGAGAGATTTTGGTCAATCGATCCACCACGATCAGCAATGCCGATTTTCCTCCCGAAGGTGGCAATCCGACCATGAATTACATACTCACATCCTCCCATACTCGTTCGGGTATCGGTAGCGGCTGTAGCAACCCCCGCCGGCCGAAGCGACGAAGCGACGAGACCTTGACCCGTTGACAAGTATCACACGAGGCCACATAATCTCGCACCATGTCGACCATCCTAGGCCAGTAAAAGTGCTCGCAAACGCGCAACAACGTACGTTCCGCGCCTGAATGCCCGCCCGTCGGAGAGTCGTGGAACTCTTGTAAGACCGTCGTGATCAGCGAAGAGTGGGGCGGAAGGACTATCCGTCCATTGAAGAACACCAGGCCGTGGCGGAAGGCGTACGCACCCGGGTTCGGTGACAAGGCCACCTCCTTGCATTCCTGCAGATACTCATTGTCTCAGCTTGCCGTACCTCATCCCAAAAGTTACTAACAGGCCGAGAGACGAGATATAAGAGCGCTCCACCCATGCTCCGGGAGAGACCATCGGCATCCAAATTTATGGGTCCCGGTTTATAGTGGATTTCGTAGTCGTACCCGAGCAGCTTAGAAAGCCATTTGTGTTGGTCCGGCGTTGAAATTCACTTATCTATAAGGTGTTTCAAACTCTGGTGGTCGGTGTAGATGTGAAACTTTTGCCCCAATAGATAAGGTCGCCAAGTCTGGACTGCCATAACAACTGCTAACATCTCCTTTTGGTACGTAGACCAGCCTGCCTTCGATGGTCCCAACGTGCGGCTCATAAAAGCAATAGGGTGACAGTTTTGTGATAAGACCACCCCAATTCCCCTACCTGACGCGTCAGCCTCGATGACGAACGAGATTGTGAAATCCGGCATAGCTAGCGTTGGCGTGGTTGTCATTGCCTTCTGCAAGGTACGGAACGCTATGTCTGCCTCCGCCGTCCACTTGAATGCGCCCTTGCACAACAGGTTGGTCAACAGCCGCGCGATGGAACCATAGTTCTGGACAAATTTTCTTTAGTACCCGGTCATCCCCAAAAATCCCCGGAGCTCGGTTACATTGGACGGTTGCGGCCAATCAAGCATGGCTTGTATCTTGGTCGGATCAACTTTCACCCCTTCATGCGAGATAACATGGCCCAAGTACTTGACCTCCTGTAACCCAAATGCACATTTGGAAGCCTTCACGTAATAGCCTTGCCTTCGTAATATGTCGAATACTCCCCTGAAATGTGATAGATAATCCGCTCAGCTCTTACTGTAAACCAAGATATCGTCAAAGAAAACCAAGACGTGCTTCCGCCCTGGGGCTGCTCGGCGCCCATCGGCACACATAGCGTCGCGAAGACCACCTCGTCGTCCCTCCACAATCCATTGGTTGTGATCGGACCCGACACAGTCAAGAGGCCTTGCAAGACCCTTTCCTTTTCCTTCCATCCGAACTTCATGGTGAGTCGATCCCAATCGGAGTTAACTAAGCCGAGGCTTTTCAACCACAGAATTCCTAGCACAACATCCAAACCACGAAGCGGCAACACAAACAGGTTCACAGAGATCGCCAAACCTTGAATATTCAAGACCACATCCCAAAGCTGCCGTGTGCAACGAAGAGCTTGGCCATTGGAGAACTTGACGATGAACGGCGGAACGTCGTTCAGTTGTCGCTCCAATGTAGCCACAAACTCCTCACTGATGAAGTTGGGAGAAGATCCGCTATCGACCAACGTGAGAGCAGTTTTACCCTCTATCGTCCCACGGAATCACATTGTCTCAGGTGCGGGATACCCATTGAGGGCGTGGCATGAAATGGCCTCGGCAACAGCCACCTCTACGGTGGTCTGCTTCGTCACCGCCTCGACGGCAGCAGCCCGAGCCGTCGCTTTGGCCATCGCGCGGGCAGCGTTGGCGGCTGCCATGTCGTGCGTCAATTGTCTGCAAAACTCGCCGAAGTTCTGTAGCGCAGCCTCCATCGTGAACTATAGCTGTCGTGTCGTGCGTCAATTGTCTGATACCAATTTGTTGTAGGTACTAAGATCAAAAAGAAGATCAGGAGAAGAAGAGACTTGTGATTGGAAGGAGAGAACGAGAGAAGACAGTAGGGTTTTGGAGGAGATAGGGTTTAGGAAGTTTATTATTAATGTTTTGCGTAAAAACTGTTCCCAAAATACAAATGAACTTAAATACTCAACTCTCAATTCGGCTGGTACTTCGGGTTGGGTTTGGGCACCCGAGCTGACCGTCTGGTACCTTCAACAGAAACCCTATTGTGGGCAGTTGTTAGTCGATGTAGCGTCTATGTGGCTGCCACTTATCTGCCAAGTGTGCAACAATCTTCACTTAATGGACGTCCGTCCGATCAACCGTTATATCTAACGGTCGAAGAAATCGTCAGGACATAAATGACACAAAATTATCATATGTTGGGACATTTTTGGAATATTGAATAGGTAGGGACATAAATTACACTTTTTTGTAGTTTGGGTTTTGTAGTTCGAGACATAAATGACACCTTTTGTCTTTTTGGAATGTACAAGGGTTGACGATAAAACTATGAAAGGTACATTGAATACTTGTGAACCTGAGTTTGGCTAGTAGGTCAGTTTGCGAAAATCTAAAACATATTTCAGCACTAATTAGGCAAGAAAAACATAACCAGGGAGGTGCTAGGGATTAAGGTAGTGTTTAGCCAATCAATCGACTTGGTTCGAAAAAAACTAAAGATGTGAAAGAGCAAACTTCTTACAATGCAACAAAAATGCCTTGATTAAACCCATATCTCAAGCACAAGTATGTATGCAATGTCTGAATTCTTATTCCCATAAGGTGTCATCCAAAAGATAGATTCAATCGTTGGGTTTGATGGGGAAGGTGGAGAGAAGAATCCCTTGGATGGGACCGGAGAAACTGTGTGAATTAAAGGAAGAGAGTGGAGTGGGATTTCGTGATCTCCATGGATTGATGACTCGCTCCTACCATCACTCTAGAAAATGGCCAAGTGTAACTACCTCCTAAAGCGTAGTATAGCGGGTTTGGGTTTTAATGCCAACCCGGGTCCTGGATGTGATGACTACTCCGTGAGTTCTTATTATTTAGCAGTGAAACTTTAGTGAAGGTCCAAACAAGCAAACAAGAAAGCAAGTAAAAAGGTTGTTTCCAAGTCGAGAGAGGTCACCCGAATATGATTCCCCCTAGACTGCAGTTAAGCCGGATTGTAATTCACCAAGTTCAAGTTCAATGATAGTTATACTGTGGGAGGTTCTTAACCAGTCTGAAGTCTCGACTAAAGGTCTCCAGACCCTCTCAATCTGAGTCTTCAGCGGGCGACTAACCTCTACCGGAGTAAACAGATTGAGGCCCTAAAGAACCAAACCTCCACTACCGAAGTAAATTCGGTACAGAATAGTGAATTGACTCCTCGACTAAAGTCGCCAATTCACTACCTTCAATCAAGGGTGCTCTATCAACCTATGCAGATATTCTCTTTCTAGGTTAAAGCAGAAACAATAGGAATTTGATCAGGATTCATGTCATCCAATAAATCAAACCTCAATTGAATATAATCATATCAATGAATCTGTACTTGGGTTCATACAAGCAGACCTAACATACAAATCTAGGGTTCTTCATACCCAGGTGAATAAGAAAGTTACTCCATAGAGAGAGATTGAAAATCTAGCTCAGATGCGGAAACCATACTGTGAAGAATGGGAATCTGCTTCTGGCACTCAATCAGGTCTTCTCCAAGCTCAAGCCGGGCTCCAATGGCGATGGAGATCGATCTATGACACTTGCAGGATCAGTTTCGTCACTTTCTCCCTCTAGGTATCGCTCTTTCTCTCTAAAACTCGGAACCCCCACTCCTTTGGCTGGAAATTGGGTTAAAACCCAGAAATTCCCGACTCACACGGCCAGGCCACAAGGCCGTGTGACTTCCCCAGCTGCCCATGTGAGTTTGCAAAATGCGGTGTTTCGTTAAGTGACTTAGGCTTCCTACACGGCCAGACCCACACGACCGTGTGGATTTCCAGGATGCCCGTATGAGTTCCCTGGAATTTCCACACGGCCACAAGGGGTCCCCTACACGGCCCGTGTGAATTTGCCCGTGCAATTTGATGTCACACGGCCAGGTCACACGGCCGTGTAGGATTTAGGCTTGCCCGTGTGGCTCCATCAGCTTCTCGCCAAATGTCCAATCTTCGTCCAATCGACCCTGAACTCTTTCCCAAACCTTCATTCACGTACTAGGACCTGAAATATTACAAACAAGAACAACCTAGCGTGAAATGGGCCTAAAATGCGAGAATCGATATCTCAAACGGCTCAAGAATAGGGGTAAAAACATGTGCAATCAATGGTCTATCAATTGAATATTGTCAAACTTGATAGACAATGTTTGAATCTCATCAAATATCTAGATTTATTGGTGGCACGAGCACTAATGGCTAAATACTAACTATTTAGGATGTCATATATGTTGAAGAAGACCATATGGGCACAACTTGATTGCATCATAAAACTGGTGCGAGGAATGGAGAATAAAGAAATTATATCTATATGGTGGGAAAATAGATTGTAGAGGTTCCAAAATTACAAGGTCGTGACTCCGATTCAGGATTGAGAATGAATGATAAGGTCTTAGCTTTGATATAACATTCCTTGAAGTCGTGGAAAGCAATGTTCTACAAGCCAATTTCCAACTGATCGACAGGAACATAATCATTTAGATTAATGTTCCTCTCCAAGAAAAGCCTGATATATATTGGGGTCTTGTGAAAAGAAAAATAGAACAATATACAATATGATCCATGCTACTATGAATGGAAAAAACATAAGGAAGGTGAGGTAATAGGGAATTACGTTCCAATATATTGGTAAAGACTATGGAGGCTCAATATTTACCCTAAATGAAGCTCTTTGGGTGGAGAAAAATAACTATTGTTCAACTAAACAAAAGTTGGAGGAGCGGGCGATAATAGGAAGAGCGCAGACTTACCTAGAAGATTTCAAGTCACATTTTCTAAGAGCACCACATAGATCAATCAAAGGCCACACTGAACATTGGAAAAGATCACCACCACGGAGGTATAAAATGAATGTTGATTTTGCGATCATGAATTTAGGTGGTGTGGGGATTTGGTTTTGTCTTCCACATTAGGGATGACCACTTCTAGATGGCGGCAATTTGTCAAATGCGAATCAGATAGGGAGCGGAGATGGTAGAAGAGACAACCTTTCGATGTGGCCATGCATCTAACTTGGGCACATTCCTTTCAACCATTGTTGATAGAAACGAATTGCTAGGGGTTAGTGAACAGATTTAATGGAAAGTAATGACAATTTTGGAGAATGACAGTGTTCGTGAGGAGATAAGGGAAATTGCTAAAGTTTAGGAAAATGTGAATTGGAGGTTTTGAGGAAGGGGGTAATAGTGCAATAGACTTGATGGCTCATGTGGAGTGTATCTATATGACTATGAGAGGAGGTTGAAGTATGTTTTGGAAGATCAATTTTTTTTTTGTTACTCAACCATTTAGCAATTGTAAATCGTAATACCTCAAACCCTAAATTTTGTATGGATACGAGTAAGATAAAATACAAATCGAATAATGGCCAACTCGTATCTTTTACCGTATCCACCAAATTTTACAATGGATAACACTTATGCCCATATCCTACAGTCAATGACCAAATTGTTGGAAGAAGCTCGACAATGTTGGAAGGTTTCAAAGATATCTAGGAAGCTAGACACAACTCACCGGCCCAACTCATCTCAAGGCAATGGTCGACAAAGCCAGAAAGGAAAGAATGATCAATCAGGCCATATTAAGATCAATTCTCGTCACCGGTTGAAGGAGAGAAGTCGAATCTTCATCACCTAGTCGAGGGCTATTTAAGGAGCCCAACTTAAGAATAGAAGACCAACTTTTTAAGGCAAACAAAATCAAGAAAGCAACAGTGAGCTAGTATGAGATTTTGTTAAAGAAAAGTCAGTCAGAAGATCAGGGAGACTTTTGGGTTTGATACTGGGTAGTATCAGGGTTCTCTCTTAACCAGGTAGTTTATAGAGTGAATCGATCGAGCTGGGTAGCTGATAGATCTGGGAATAGTGGTACTTGTAAACTGCGACGAACTTCAAGCCAAATTCATAGTGAAACGTCGGAGAACGCTTAACGCGTAACTCCGACCGTGGACTCGTCAATGTTGGGATCCTCATTCTCCCAACGTTGGAAACCACGTAAAAATATCCGGTATAGTGGTTCACTCTTCTCCCTTTCTCTATTTTGGTTTATACTATGTTATTTATTGTTATTTTTCAAACTTTGCTGCATGGTACATTTTGATTAGAGAAACAAGAGGAAGAAGGGTTGGACTCAGTTAGTAAAATGGCGAGTTTTAAAGAAAAGTTGTTTCTTAAATAAGATTGTTGGGCTATAGTTTGTGTTTTTACAGGCTGAAAGAAAGTTGAGGTGGGCTCTTGGTTTGTGGAAGTAGTGGGCTCAAGTCTCATTACACCTTCAGACAATTCTCATTAGTCGTTTCACAACCAAACACAAGGAAGTAAAACTCCCTCTTGCATCGATCAAATTAATTTCTGAATATCTATTTCACTTGTTCTTGTTGAGAGTTTCGAGTGAGGTAAAGTGCAGGTGCTCAATTGATCCGAGAAAGCTACGGGAAAAGGGCATGCACGTCTCGCTCTCGACGCTATAACACGGATAGCCCAGATCAAATATCTACGAGTACAATTTGGATTGTCATCCCTAGTAAGAAGTAACAATGAAAATTGTAAATGAGTGGGAACGACAAATCCTTGCCGAGCGAAAAGCAAGTAGAACAGTACCATTAACCCCTCTCACATGAGAATGAATGAGGTGGTCTTAGTTTTGATGTAACATTCCTCGAGATTGTGGAAGAAATGTTCTACAAGCGAGTTTCCAACTGATCGACAAGAAAATAATCATTTAGATTCATATTCCACACCAAGAAAAGCCTGATATTAGGTCATGGAAAAAGAGAAATAGGACAATATACAATCCTATCAAGCTAATATGAATGGAAAAGATATAAGGAAGGGTAGGTAATAGAGAATTACGTTCCGATATATATTGATAAAGACTACGGAGGCTCAAAATTTCCCCTAAAGTGAAGCTCTTTGGATGGAGCAAACAACTATTTGTTCAACAACAAAAAGTTGAAGGAGTGGACGATTGTAGGGAGAGAGCAAACTTACGTAGAAGATTTTTCAGTCACATTTTTCTTAGAGCACCACATAGATCAATCAAAGGCCACACTGAACATTGGAAAAGACCACCACCATGAAGGTAAAAAATGAATGTTGACGTTGCGATCCTAAATTCAGGTAGTGTTGGGGGTTTTGGTCTTATCTTCCGCAATTGGGATGACCAATTCTAGATGCTGGCGGTTTGTCAAATGCGAATCAGATAGGGAGCGGAGATGGCCGAAGAGACAACCTTTCGATGGGGACATGCATCTGACTTGGGTGCATTCCTTCCAACCAGTGTTGATAGAAACGAATTGCTATTGGTTTGGTGAACATATTGCATGGAGAAAGAAGTGACAATTTTGGAGATTGACAATGTTCATGAGGAGATAATGGAGATTGTTGAAGGTTAGAGAAATGTGTATTGGAGGTTTTGAGGAAGGGGTAATAGTGCATTGCAATAGACTCAATGGTTCACGTGGAGTGTATGTATATGATGATGAGAAGAGATTTAAGTACAATTTGGAAGATCAATTTTTTTTTTTTACTCAACCATTTAGCCAATTGTAAATTTGTAATACTTCAAACCCTTGATTTTAGATGGACACGGATAAAATAACTTTACAAATTGAATAATAGCCAACTTGTACCTTTTACCCCTATCCACCAAATTTTACAGTGGGTAACACCTGTGCCCATATCCTACCATCAATGCCTAATAGCCCATATCAGATATTCATGCATGAGCATGAGCATGAGCATGAGCATGAGTACAAGTTGGATTGTCATCCCTAGTAAGAAGTAGGGCGGGACGTTCGGTTATCGGTTAACCGGCCGGTTAAACCGATAACCGGCGGTTACCGGTTAACCGGCTAACCGAAAATTACAAAATCGGGCGGTGTTCGGTAGCGAGGTCAGCTTTACCGGTTAACCGGCTAACCGACAAAACTAACCCCCTCCCCCTTCAATCCTAAAACTACGCCGCCCTCCTCTTCCGCAAAAACCCTAATCGAGCCCCTTCAATCCTAAAACTACGCCGACGAGTTACCAGTATCCATTTCAACCCGCCACTTCACGCGATTGCCTTCATTTTCGGATCAAAGGAATCCCCACTCTCCTCGTCGATAACCTCCCTAGGCAATCGTCGGAAGTCAACCCTAAGCTCCAATGGATTCGACCGGCGAAGGAAGCGGAGGCGGAAAAGGAGAAGCAGCAGAAGCAGAAGGAGAAGGAAAGTGGTGGAGAATCATTCTTAAGCGCCATCCATTTTCATGGGTTGTGAACAGGGGAGCATTCTTACTTGGAAGTGGTGGAGAATTCGACCAAGAGAGGGGAAGTGAGGGTGATCGTCGAATTGAATTTCCGGTCGGAGTTCGAGATGGCGAGGGCGAGCGACGAATACAACCACCTAATCGCCCGGCTGCAGGAGGTGTTTGTCGGCAGGGTAGACCGGCTGAAGAATCTGATCAAGACGCTCTGCTCCGCCGCCGAGGCTTGTTCCAAGGAGAAGAAGATTCACCTGGCGCCGTGGAGGAAGTACGAGTACATGAAGTCCAAGTGGTTCGGTGGGTCGTGCGAGAGACTTGTTCCAAGGAGAAGAAGATTCACCTGTCGGTTACCACAGTTAACCGAGCAACTAACCGGTAACCGACCGGTCGGTTGCCGGCTAACCGATGACTTCCGTCGGGCGGTTGGCGGTAGGCGAGACTGGCGTCGCGGTTAATCGGTAACCGACATTTCGGTTATCGGTTATAACCGATCTAACCGAAAATCCAGTCCTAGTAAGAAGTAAAAAATGAAAATCGTAATTGAGTGGGAACGGCAAATCCCGGCTAAGCGAAAAAGCAAGCAGAACAGTAACATTAACCCCTCTCGGATGAGGATAAAAAGCCCAATTCCGTTGTCGCCTCTCCCCCTTCACTCCACTTCTTTCTCCCTCTCTCTCGCTCTGTGTGCCCAGTAGACAGCAGTAGAATATATAATAGAAAGCCAAGTGAAAAAGCAAAGTTGAGCAAAAGCCAAACGGGAAAGGAGGTGAGAAAGAAGCTGATACCATAACCTTCTCTCCCAAACCGCCCAAAGAAGAAGAAGAAGAAGAAGAAGAAGAAGAAGGAAGAAGGAAGAAGAAAACCCAAGTTACCATTTCTATTCACTCTCCACAGGCAGTGAAGAGTGGGGTTTCTTCTTTGCATGTAGTAGATTTGCTCTTTTGGAATTGGAACCCTAACTTCCATCTCCAACGCCACCTCACTTCCTCTACTTCCCATTCTCCTTTTGATGGCCGGTAACCCTTCCGAGACTCCCACCGACGATTTCCTCCAGGAAATCCTCGGCCTCCAGAGCTTCGCCTCCGCCGACCCTTCCCTCGTTGGCGCCGATGCCCTCTCCGCTGCTGCCTCCACCCATGCTCCCATGTTTCTCCAGCTCAGTTCCGGCGACCCCTCCGCCGCCGGGATCAACGCCCTAACCGGCTCCTCCCACGGTGATGCCGCCGGTTTCCAGGGTTTCCCACTGGGGCTCAGCTTGGACCAAGGAAAGGGAGGGTTTCTCAAGCACGAGGATGCCTCTGGAAGCGGTGCTAAGCGGTTCCGAGACGATGTCCTTGACGGCAGAGTTGCCATGTCCAAAAATGTAAGTCACGGAGGAAACCAAACAAACAAAAAATCGTAATCATTGTCATAATTAATTACCATTTGGTGCGTTGATTAGCATATTCATTGGGTATTTAAAATTGTCCTCCTTTCCGTTTTATGTACATATATGCTTTAGTTTTTGCTTTCGTACAGATCATTCCTGCGTTGCTTCTTTTAACTGTTGCGGGATGAAGGATACAAAGTGTTCGCTTAAAGCTACAAAAACATGGTTCTTTTGGCTTTTAGCTTTCTGTTCTGGTCTTCTGCTTCGCTGGGTGTTTGTTAGAGATTATTGGCGCTTTGTAGCTGCTAAGTTAGAACAGAAGGGTAGTTGGGGTTTTCGGAGTTTTGCTGGTATGGGGTTCCATGCTTTGTATTTTGACGAGAGGATTACAAAAATGGTTCCTTGTCGGCTCTGTCAGTAGTTGTCATTTGTTTTTCTTATACTGGAATGCTTCAGGTGCACCTTTCTTGCTTCCCTGGGTCACTCTTTTCCTTGAGGAGGATGACTTAACTGAAGTTGAGGAAAGTAGAAAATTAATACTGGAATACCCTATGTGGTTTGCTAGGTCATTAGTAGGAGGAAGTTGTTTCTTCATCTGACAGAATTAGTTTTTCTGTCAAGAGACACTCTTGATGAGATTGCTTTCATTTCGCATGTATCATTATGAGATAAGTGCTTACATGATTAATAATCTGTAAGGCGATATTGATTCCTCTTATGCGAATGATTACACTGTACAAGATATGTTTCTTCATCAGATCTATTTTTCTCTGAATTTGACACAAAAGCTAAGCTCATATTATCTTATTGTTGGATAGTTGGGCCAGGTAGTGTTCTTTCCCAGTTTTGTTACTTTTTTGGATTGGAAAGATTAGTTGAATCTCTAGTTGCTCTGTCTCCACTAAACCTGGCTCCTTTTTTCATATAAGATAAATGCTTTCTTGCAGGTTTTTCATGGTCAACCAATGCCCACAACTGTACCTGCTGCCGCCCCTCATCCTCCAACAATGCGTCCAAGGGTCAGGGCAAGAAGAGGGCAGGCTACAGATCCACACAGCATCGCTGAGCGTGTAAGCTTGATATATGCTGGTCTTGAATTAGAGCTTAACATATTTATAGCCATCTGCTTCTGCTATTCAATCACAAACACGGAACTCATGTGAAATTCCTCTTGATACCTTTGTCCTACTTTGACACAGCTGCGCAGAGAAAAAATAGCAGAAAGGATCAGAGCATTACAGGAGTTGGTGCCTAGTGTCAACAAGGTCAGCATTCTCACCACCCTAGTTATTTTGGTCCAATGTCTAAAATGTGGTTGCTTGTCAAATTCTTCTTTTATGAGGAGAAACATTAGTCTCTTGCTTGCACTCAATAGAATTCTCGGTGTTGGTGATCTTGAATAATTCCAGATGTTGGTAAGTAGAAAATTATTGACGGGAAATATTAGAATTGGTTTGTATATGCAGTAATTTTCCATTTGGGTATCCACACAGTAATGTTTCTTAATCTGGACTTCAAAATTGTGCTTCCTACTCGCAATGTATTTCATAGAGCATTTGATCATCCTAGTTTAGGTTTAGAGTGGTGAAATCCCAAGAATTTGTTAGAGAGCTGAAATACCGTCACATGGTTGAGACTCATTTCTTGCTGGAGCTGGTCAGTCCAGAGCCCTTGTTTAAGACTATATTCCTGGCAAAATATCATATATTCTATCCTGTGTCAAGGTGTGATAATTGGTTCGTAATTAAAAAGAATCCGAGTCATCATGGTGCATACGTGGATCAGATTGACACATATAGCTTTGTTATATTGTTAAAAGATCGATTTCCATGACCAAGTCTGTTAACTTTGTATTTATTTGGAAGGCTGCTGTTTCACCAGCTTCATGTATAACTTCGTTTTGCAGACAGATAGAGCTGCGATGCTCGATGAAATTGTGGATTATGTGAAGTTTCTCAGACTTCAAGTTAAGGTAGGGAACAAGTGCTCTTTGTTGTGACAAAGTTGTATGCGGCTGAATCCATTGCAATTCAGTCATAAAATTAACTTTTGACATCAAGGATGAATGTAGTAACTGCTCAATACTATACTGTATGGTCTCCAAACCGAAGCATCATCATTTAATTATGACACTGACTCTATCTGCTTTTAGGCGCTAGCATGATAGATTTCAGTGAAGGTTGTTCTAAACCCTGACTGAATTATCCAACTCAATTTGGCAGCTACAACATCAATGGCGACACTGGTTTTACTCATTTAATTGTCATGGTCACCAGTTTTTCTTTTCTGGTTCCATGGTTCGAAACTTTCGATCTTCTAGAGGTCGACTTGCATATGAACTGGGTGCTTTCCCTCTTCACATGACAGAATTAGAGAAGGCTTCGAAAGTTCAAAGACCATGGTTTGCAAACATTAGTCAGCAAGTGTCACCTAGACTAGGAGTCAGAATATATTGCGGCCAGATAGTGGCTCATTCATGAGATTAGAGTGCTTACTGAGAATTGAGTGATTTATTCATCTATTAAGAAACTTGCCACCGTTTTCAACAGGTTCTGAGCATGAGTCGGCTGGGTGGAGCTGGCGCAGTTGCACCACTTGTAACGGAGATCCCACTATCTTCAGTTGAGGTGGGAAAAACTTGTACTTTCTCATGTATAGTTTGATTTGCCCACTTGTCTTTTTGTCAATGAAAAAGCAAACGACCCCTACAACAACACAATGTGTGGTTTTCAGGATGAAAATGGTGAAGGTGGGAGAAGTCAACCCGCGTGGGAGAAGTGGTCCAACGATGGTACAGAGAGACAAGTAGCCAAACTCATGGAGGAAAACGTTGGTGCCGCCATGCAATTCCTTCAGTCAAAGGCTCTCTGCATCATGCCCATCTCCCTGGCATCGGCCATCTACCACACGCAGCCACCGGATCCTCCAGCCACTGTTAAACCAGAAACAAACCCACCATCGTAGAGTAAACATAACCAGTGAAGATCCTACCCGAATTAGTTCTGGTAAGTCCGTCCAACAAAGGTCGCTCCCAAAAATTGGTCCCCGTTTCAAAAGGGTCTTTCTTTTTCTCTTTTGCCGATCCTTATTATTGCAAATATGCTTTGAGGGTCCCGAGGGGGTTTTGTCCCATTCCAAAGACTACGAATTAGATGTCGTTAGGTTGGGGACTAAGTCTGAAATTCCAAATTGCAATCAAAGTCAGATGCCATGGTTCCTCTTTATAGCTTTTGTTTCAATTTTTTTCACTCCTGGTGCTTTATTTTTTCTTATGAAAACAGGGGTTGGATGTCAAATGCCTAAACAATTGCAGGCAGGGCCTTTTGGAGTCTTGGTGGCCAAGTCCCCATGAGAGAGAGGGAGAAGAATTTGTCAAAGGCTTACTTGATAGATAATGCTCTTCTTTTTGGTACCACTGGTGGGAATTGGTGGACAATGATGGAAGCACCTTTCTTTCTTTCTCTCCTCCCTCCTTTTCTTCTCTTACTAGTTAGTGGAGGGCTCTGTTTCGGTTTCCCTTTTCTTTTTCTTCTCTGGTTCTCTTTTGGGGATGATTAGTGGTTTGTGGGACCTTGTAAAGGGGTAATGGATGGGTATTAGGGTATTTTATTGTAACAGGATATCAATGGGAATGCAAAAGTCAGGAGAATGGAATGGATAATGGTTGGTTATTGGTTTCTTCAAGGATATCAATGTGCTTTGCTTGGTGGTGGTTTCCATTTACTTCAACAGGAAATGATAGCCACCCCCGCCCATTTGTTGTATCCCGTTTCGTAGGAGCGCGGGGAGTTTGAGCCTATTCGTGCACCCTTAATATGCTGCAGGTGCACTAGCTTGGATGAGATTGCTGCTGAGTTGATTTGTGAAGAGACGAGGCTCAATTGACAATAAGTCATCAGAGTCGGCCTTCCCTGTGGGGTGTTCAAGAGCAGCGAATCGACCTAGGTTCAACCATCCTAGCAAAGGACATGTTTAGATTCATTGCAAGAACGCAACTCTTGTAACTATTCTAAGAAGGCAGGTCATATTGTGTTGGAGTTCCCTAAATTGAACAAGTGGGAAATTCATACTTCCCAACAACGAAACAGCTTATTGACTGTCAATTACATGGTGAATCATACACAATGGCCAATTTTCGTGTTGTTTCAGTTGGCTCATCTTCAAGCAATAATGGTGTGTCACCATTCTCTCCATAGCTAGACGGTTAGACCAAAACTAGTGCAAGAAGCTATACAATTAGCTTTTCCTCAAGCCTTAACATCACATCATTTTTCTACCAGGGTTATTTCTGACAAGTCACCTTGTTGGTAATTAGATTCAGTAGCTTGTAATCATATGACTCATGATTGATCCACCTTTGATACATTGAAAGTTTGAAACTTGTTTCTCAATTGAACTTAAGAGTGGCTATTGGTAAGAAATACCTGTTATTGGATGTGGAACCTCGTTGACAAGCTCTACTAACCTTCCAAACACCTTATGTGTAACTATTTAATCCCTAACATAGTCTCTGTTGGACAACTAACGGAGGACGGTTGTGATGTGACATTTGATTCGGGTGGTTCTGTGATACATGACAAGAAGATGTGGAGGGTGATATGGAGAGGAAATGTTAGAAACCGAACAGAAAAATTAGGGTTACCGATTTGGCTGAGTCGCGGACTAGGTCGCTCTCTTTAAGACGTTCGCGACACTGCCTCGTATTGCGCACAGCAGACTATCAGCCGGTCGCCTCCAGGATAAAACAGCCATTCTAATTTTCTTGCTCATCGGTTTTGTGCGAAAAACCGGAGCTCTATGAATTCACTCTCTCTCGTGTTTCTGCTTTTCTGAGGTGTGTATAGAGGGTCTGGGTAGTCTCCTATTTATAGGAGCAGAAAACCCAGAATATTCCCTCTTTCTTTGGGAATAATCACATTTTAATTAGAGAGATAATTACTCCCATAATTAAAATATAATCTATTAAGATAATTATTCCTAATTATCTCCATAATATTTCTTTTATTAATTATCCATATTAATTTCGTATTATGGGGAAAATACTGGATAATTAATTAGAAATTTTATTATAGCTTTTCAAAACTATTCATCCCAACAATCCCCCACTTGAATAGTTTGAAACTATCTCTGAGCATCAACAGTCCCATAAGATCGGGCATAAGCTAAGGTATCGCGAAGATTTGAACCTTAGCATAGTGGTTACACTTTCGATTTCATAAGGGTGACTCGTAGTCTTGAACCCTATCTCAGACAATGTAGCACACCGGATCTTTTCATTGAGTGATATTCTCTCATAGGTTGTGCGTTTATGGCCATGCACGTTATCCCGGTTTAGTGAACGCTCTAGCAACTTTGTGCCTCCAAAGTTCCATAGGGAGCGACCCCACTCCCACATTCACATAGGTGAGTCTATCAGAAGTACCCCCAAAGTAAAGTACTTCACTCCACATAGAGTATAGATCTCATTAAGAGTTTAACTCAACCTCCAAGGCTTTGGGATCCATGCTTCACTATGCATGAACTTTTCTCAATATTACTCATGACTTGTGATTACCCATTGAACCCGTTTCTTGGGATCTCCAGTCTATCGGGTCGGGTTACCATCACTTGTAATCCATGGTTCGGTAGGCATAAGTCTCATACCCATCATGGTATTTTTGGACTTTCTCTCTAGCTAGTCCTTTCGTCAAAGGACCAACTAGATTCTATTAGGATCTTACATGATCCACCCTCATTGCTCCTATCGTTAGGAGTTCTCTTACAGTACTGTGCTTACGACAAATTTGTCGTCTCTTTTCGTTCTAGAACCGGTTCCCTTCTTTAGTAATAGTTGCGGTGCTATCAAAATGAATCAACTACCGGAGGGATCGGCTTTCCCATAAGGGTATCTGTAGTAATGACCATCTCAATCAACTTTTCTCTTTACTAGCCATTGCTAGCTCTATCATTTCTGATTTCTTAATTGATTGATCCTGGGCCGTTTACTTCTTAGAATTCCAAGACACAACACTTCCGGTGATGTTTAAAACATGACCACTAGATGCCTTGAAATCTTCTATATGGTATTCTTGTCCGCATCAATATACCCTACCAATACAGCCAGAAACCGTTGATAACTTATATCAAGGTCTACTGTTCTTAAGGTGTCTCATGACCCTTTTCAATAGCATTTCAATGCTTCATAATAGGTCAATCAGTAAACATGCCAAGTACCCCCACTATGTCGGATCTCATGTTTATCAGTTGCCTCTCGCAGACTGTCGATGCTAGTATGTTCTTACTTTCTTACACCGTCTTTGGTACTCTTTTAAAATTGTACTAGCATCTTCAAACATTTAGGCAAGTGTATAACTTGTATTCCTTATAGATCTTAACCAAGCAGTTAGATTGATCTATAACAAATATCTTTCACTGTCCTAGTCATTTGGATCTCTAAGCGAAACACTTGGATCCTTCTCATCAAGGTTCTCACTCAACATGGTTTTTCACATTTGTTCGTGTCATGAGTCTTTGCAACAAAGATCAACATGCCTTTTTTATAGTGCAAGTGTTGTTTGTAACAAATGCACTTGTCACTTTTATTCAAAACCATGAGAGAGAACCATCCATGCATGCCATGATCTTTAAAGTCTGTTTCAAATCATACATTGATTTGTCTCACCATAGACTTTAAAAGCATGTTCAGAGATAACAACCTTTAGGTTGTCCCAATGTAGATTTCTTATCTAAATCACCATTCACAAAATGAAAATTTTTAACATCCATCTAATGCATCACTAGCAATCAGACCATACATGGATGCTATTCTAGATTTGGTGAATAGATATCAAGAAAATCTACAAACTTTTTCTTTTTCGCCTAAAGTCTTATCTACTAGGCGATCCTTATACTCATAAACTAAACCATTAGGTTTCAGTTTTCTTTTAAGAATCCATTTATTACCCATGGCATCATTGCCAAGAGGTATTTCTCAAAGATGCCAAATCTTGTTCGATTCCATCGATATATTACCCACAGCTTACGACCGCGAGGTAACTCTACAAGACTCTAAGTCTTATTAGACTCCAATAATTTTTTTTTAATAATAATGGATTCTCCCACAAATCTGCATCTATATGGAAGTTCAAACTTCCAGCAGACTTGTAGGATAATTCTTTCTTAGGGTGTAAATAACAAATTCATAACCAAAATCCTTTCGTGATTTATGGTTTATTTTTCTCTTCTGAGTTCATACTCAGATTCACCACCCCCACTAGTTCCATTATTTCTAATAGTAGGTAGGATTTAACCCCCACTATCTCTTTATTTTAAATGGAAGTCTATTGGCATCCATGGATTCCATAACATAATGAGTATTTCATTTCATGAGGCATGTATATTTTACTATTGACAATACAATCAATAAAATATACTCATATGCTTTCCAAGTTATCATATTACATGTATGCACAGTATCGAATAATCAGTGAAATCATTAATAATGCGATAAAGCATTTCTCAAACAAATTAGCATCTCAAATAACTAGATAGAGCACTATGTATAGCAATAAATCACTTATTGTCTTTCTATCACGTATACTCGTATAAAAATAAATCAGATCTATCAATTCTGATTCTCTAACCATGTATTTATGGGTCATTTAGCTTGGATATAAATTCAAATTTATCTCAAGTATTCAATAATAATATGAGAATGTGATATAAGATATTCTAATTCTTCACACAGACACACTTGGAAGAGTTTATCTTATCTACTTAACCATTCCTTGCGTCTAGTATAGTCAATGACTTTCTAGAGGTAAGGTTCACTTCCACTTTCATAGAACCATCAACAATAGTGGTGAGGGTCGTGCCCAACAACACTTCTCCTTCAATACGCCTCAATGCATGATTGAGCTTAGCTACTTTATCAAATGCATGCCTTGAGTCGTCAATATCCAACCACCATTCTTCAGAGTTACCATTAAGGCTAACTTCTGTCATCACCATAGCGATTATTATTGTCAAATCCTCGTCTTTAATCAAGTTAACACAATACTATGTTAAACTTACGAAAACTTTCGTGTCATATGACCTAGTTTTCCTCAAATTTAATTGAGAAACATAGCGTCATTCTTAGAGGATTGTGTGACAAACTTATGGTTACCACGACGGGTACCATTCTAATTGGTGTGGATCTGGTTCGTATTGCTACTCTCATTCTTGAAACTTTAAAATTCCAGAGTAGCATGAGTGGTTCACTTAGTACTGACAAACAATACTTCTTCTAATCCCATTACTATGAATAAGTATATCATTCTATTTCCACATATACTCCAGAACCTATGCACCCATTTAACCAAAATTATGTACACAAAATTTTACTCCAATCATTGAGGAAGATATATCTCAATGTCAACATGATCATGCATCAATTATAAATGTTCTTTCTAGCATTCATAAAATTTCTCAATTTCATGTATCAAGTTATATGACATAGATTCTCATTTTATCATTTATAAATGATTCATATATAAAAAAGGTTTCACTTCTGACCTTTTTTTCGAGAGGTCATCCCCTTCTGATAATAGCTAGCTCGTGGCTTAGATTCCAATTTGACAATACTTGCCCGAGCACCACTTTCCTCTATCAGGTTCTCCCGGCGGCAGCTATCCAGTTCTTACCTCCTTTGTGGAGGGCCTGCAAAATTCAATACAATTGATTTTTCTCTTGAGACTTGGACAAGGGAAATTAACTTGACCGAGGCCTTCTTCCATTTGCTTGGCTCGGGATGGGATTTAAACGGGACAATGGAATCAGCTTGCTCTGGACAGAATTGACTTGGTCCAAATCAATTAGCCAGCTTGCAATGAATTGATTTGGCCCAAATAAAGTACAGCCCGGGGTCGTCTTGCTGCCTCCCTCCGCCGACTTCTCCTCTACCAATCGCCTTCTTCTTGTGGTACAGTGCTACCACTCCACCCATCCGCCAATTTTAACAATCGGAACTCACATATACAGATGGGTTAGTGAAGTCACATTCATAAGAAACAATCAATTAACACAAGGGAACCCCTTAATAATTCACTTATGCAACCCATGTCCTTTCTATAGAAAATTCATTTCGGTTACCGCGGCTACGACGCGTGTTCCGATCGGTGGGGGCAATAATAAGTGCGATGCGACAAAGGTAGACCTTTCTCGGAAGGCCTCTCGAAGGCGGTAATCTCCTCGGCGAGAAGCTCGTTGCCATCGAAGGCAGCTGAGGAGTGATCTTTGTTCCTCCGCCCACTCCCGCCTCCTTTTTTTCTTCTTCTTCTTCGAGCTATGCCTAATTACAGCAACCAAAGCAAAAGCTAACTTCGAATCAGAACAATGGATTGCGAGCAACCGAATGCACCAACTAATTCCCCTGTGCTTCTCCTCGCAGACACCACCAGCAAGATAAACAATAAAATAATAAAAAGAAATAAATTGAGTAATAAAGAGGGACGTGCTCAATCTTCCTCGCAATGCAACAGTGGTGATAATTTTGGCTAGCGAAAATAGCTTTGGGCATCGGTGATTTCTTGCGCTTGATTGGGGCCAGATGTAGTAATCTGTTCGGTACATGTAATAACAGCAACACAAGGTCTTAAAATTGTTAGAAACCGAACAGAAAAATTAGGGTTACCAATCTGGCTGAGTTGCAGACTAGGTCGCTCTCTTTAAGACGTTCGCGGCACGGCCTCGTATTGCGCACAACAGACTATCAGCCGGTCGCCTCCAGGATAAAACAGCCATTCTAATTTTCTTGCTCATCGGTTTTGTGCGAAAAACCGAAGCTCTATGAATTCACTCTCTCTCGTGTTTCTGCTCTTCTGAGGTGTGTATAGAGGGTCTGGGTAGTCTCCTATTTATAGGAGCAGAAAACCCAGAATATTCCCTCTTTCTTTGGGAATAATCACATTTTAATTAGGGAGATAATTATTCCCATAATTAAATTATAATCTATTAAGATAATTATTCCTAATTATCTCCATAATATTCCTTTTATTAATTATCCATCTTAATTTCGTATTATGGGGAAAATACTTGATAATTAATTAGAAATTTCATTATAGCTTTTCAAAGCTATTCATCCCAACAGGAAATCATCAAGGAAGAGTTTTTATGCTAGACAAGTTGAGGAGGCAAGCTAAGAATGTGAACTATGGAGGGGGTGGTGATGCTTGTGTGAGTTGTATTGGAGGGCAACAAGTACAAAAGAAGCTTTTCAGTTCCTGAATCTGTGGATCCTAGCACTATGATAAAATCTTTGGATGATTTACATAAGCCATCGACAGATATTTCTCTAAAATCAGTCGGTTTGAATTTTTCAATGAATGCTTTGATTTGGGATTCATGGCATTGTCGGTTGGATGATCCAAATTCAGTATGATTGTTGATGATGTTTAACCAAATTTATTACCGGACAATTTGATTGGTTTATTGGTTCCCAATTTTATGTTGTGAGTTTTATAGGATAAAAGGCAAGGCTTCTCATAATTTGTTTCTTCGAGTGAGACTGTATGTGAAGCTCACTTTGATATAGTACATACAAATTTATGATTAATTTCACTAATGACGTCTCATATGGGAATTAAGTACTTCACGTTGTTCATCTATCATAAGACTCGTTATTCTTGGTTTGAGAAGTTCAATTCATAGAACTACTGCACAATTGGGTTTTGAATAAAGTCAGAATTATCCTTCCCTCTTTGTTCGAAACACTATTAGTGGTGTGGTACTGCTGCTAATCTATGTCGACGATATAAAAGTCACAGGAAGTGATTCATCAGGTATCCAAGAGTTGATGACTTCGCTTCATAAGACTTTCAATCTAATAGATCTTGGTGGCGCTTGTTATTTTTTAGGTTTGGATGTTCAGAGATCGCACATGGTATTCTGGTCCCATAAAAAAATACATAACAAATCTTCTTGAGTCAGCTCAATTTGCAAACTGTAAACCATGTGCAACTCCAATGAAAAAGAATATGAAGCTATAAAGGACAATGGAGATAGGATGCAAGATCAGTCATTATATCGTAGTTTGGTAGGGTGTTTGATTTACTTAACTCACACACATCCAAATGTACTATTGTGAGCCAACATGGGGATAGCTCGATTACAACATATAGATGACGTATATCAAATTATGAGTTATCGTAAGCAGACTCAAGAATTTGGCATATTTTTCTCTTCTTCTGGAGAATTGGGTGAGAGGCTTTTGCAGATGCAGGCTATGCAGGGTACCAAGATACACATCGATCACTTTTCAGTTTGTGTGTTTGAATTGGACATTCATTCGTGTCATGGAGATGTCACAACTAAGATTAGGCTTACAAGTCGTTGACTAAATCAGAGTATCATTCCATTCCAGTTAGAAGTAAGCTCTAAAATGATTTGGCTACAATAGCTATTGGAAGACTTCAGTGTTAATTGCAGAATTATCATTAAGTTGCATGGAGACAACAGGAGTGTGATACAAATTGCACTCAATCCAGATTTGCAGGATCAGAATAAGCACATAGAAAGTCACATTCATTACATTAGATGTCTAGTGTAAATAATAAGAATATAACTAAATTATCTGTCAACGGAAGATCAAACTTCAGCCATATTGACTAAGGCATTAGCATCTAGTACATTGGTATCTAATGTTCAACTGATGTTACTCACCCAACATTCAACATCAATTTGAGATAGGGTGTTAAATTATTGGTACCTAATTGTAATTGTGCATATATATGCCTTAGTCATTAGGATGTGATAGAACCTCTATGTATTTATGGCAATCATGTATCTATGCATTGACTGAGGAGGCTTACAACTCTACTATGAACTACAACTGTAGATACGAGAACCCACGTTACACCTCGTGTTCGTATCCGTTGTTTAATTCATAATTAGGATATAGTATTATACTCCAAACTATATTTAATCCATGATCTAGTCCATATATAATAATGATTAACAAGGTATCTGATAAAACTACTCATGTTAATCTTATGTACTAATCTTCTGTATTCAAATGAAAGTTTCTAGTTTTACAGACATATTTGTTAACTTATTTGTATTCAAATAACTACATTAGAGTTGTTTATAATATATCTCATTTAACAAAGGATGAATACAATGGCTAGTCTTATATAGTTTCATTTTTTCAGTTAGTTACCAACATGTAAAGATATTTCTCAAGAAGGGTAAAGTCTACTCCCAATGTTCAAACTGAAGATGTTGAACCTAGTGGAAGTAGATAAGCTCAAACATTTTCTCTCTTACAAGAACCAAATCTTCTAGGTTAAGTCAATCAAACTAGAAAAGAAAGTGAGTCTTTTCCAACACAGTCATGCATCTATGGAGTTTGAAGTAAACTCTTTGGAGCTAGATATAAGATTAAGAGCTAAAGTATCTAGCTTTCATCCTAATGTCTGTTATGTGGTTAGAAGATTTTATCAAAAGCGTACTAATCAACCAAAGGGTCATGCTTTTTCCTTCAGAGATTCAGGGAAAGAAGAATAGCTTCCAAGCTTCTTGGTTTACAAAGTATAACTGGCTCGATATAGGGGTAAATTGCAAGTTTGGTCACTGTGATTACTAACGTTCACGTTTAGTCACTGAAAATATTTAATTCCATTTGTGGTCACTAAAATTAGTTAAACGTTTCAAGTTTGATCACTTTCCATCCAAGTCCGTTAATTTTGAGTGATGTGGCAGTCAACTCTCATAGTTCACCGTTAAATGTGTGACATGACAATTAAAAAAAACAATAAAATTTAAAATTCTACATCTTTTCCAAACTATTGAAAATGGAAATAAAATTCAATTTCCTATAATTTCCTATAAATTTGGGTACAATTGTTTTCCTTAATTGGTTTACTTGAGGAAGAGGAAGCTGTGGCGGAGGCGGAGATTGCCATGGTGGAGCAACTGTTGAGATTGGGACCACGTGTTCAAATGGTGTGGTTATCGTGGTAACCATTTTAATCGGTAGTAATTGGTTAATTTGGTTTGGTTAATTTGGATAATTGGTTTGGTTTGGTTAAATTTTTTAGCTTGTTTGGTTTAGGTGGTTTGGTTTGGTTTCAGACACTCCTAACCAAGTAAACCAATTAAGTAATTATCCATATATTTAATATATATTATATACACATATGCAATACTTGACATAACTACTAAAGAACCAAACATTCTTTCCTTTTATGCTCGTCAACAATAAAGCTCAATATTGTCCATAGTATATTTCTATTTGTAGAGTGTACACCATGATCTATGAACGCATAATTTAGATAAAACTCGTACAATATATTAGATGAAAACTTGAAAGGAAGATCTTTTTCAACCTATGATAATTGCTAAGAGACTAATTCAATTCACACAATCACTACAATTTATTATTATTGACATATATTTTGGTTACGTGAAAACTTCTATTGACTGTAAAATAATCTTATTAGTTGCATGTACTTCTGTAAGAGTTAACTATAACTATCTGTTCATTGTAATGTTTTATTCATCATATAATTTTTGAAATGATGCATTAACCGAAAATTTTATCACATAATGATAAAGTGATTTATATTGGTTAATCTGGTTAATCAATTAACCAAACTGATTAAACTTTAGTTGGTTAATTTGGTTGTTGCATTTAGTTTGGACGGTTTGGTTATGATATTGTATTCCATGGTTAATAAATTTTTGACTTATTTGGTTTGGTAATTACCATGGTAACTAGGTCTGGAAGTTTGGTACCGTTATTAGGGATATATCGAATATCGTACCAAATTTGCCTATATTTGGTATTATCGAATACACGTATTATTTCTTGAGATTGAGATTCAATTTCAATTGTTATTCAGTATTAGGGATTATGGGATAGGGATCGATATATTCGGAAATACCGAACAATACCGAAATATAAGCTAATGTGTATTTTATGCTCTCAACTAAACTCTCTCATTCACTACTACACGACCCTCAACCACCAATCTATTATTATTTTCATAACACAAGAAAAAAAAAATACTAGTGTTAGTCTTCTCTTAGCCTCCAATTCATCAAATTAAAGATTACTAATGACAAAAACTTGAGATGTCCCCTCTCCTCCATTCTCCTTATCCATATCCTAGCTCTAGACAAATGCAAGACTCTTTGCTTAGTCTCTTTGTCCTATATTAAGCAATCAAATCTAATTAATTTCTTATTCGATAATACCGATTGGGATACCGAAGTACCGATTGGGGCCGAAATAGTTAGGGATTGGGATTGTGATTGAATTTAGGATGTAATTCGGAATTCAGGATTTCGGTATTTGGTATTGGGATACCGATACCGTACCGATTTCCACCCGTAATGATAACCATTTGAACACCCCTAGGAACCAGAGTTACGAGGGCTAATTTTCTTTTCCTATTTTTTCTTGTGTTCAAAATAAAAATAAAAGAATAAATGGTAATAGGTGAAAAAACCAAAAATGTTAAGTTTATTTAAGCAGACTTGGCAGTGACGTGGCGTGCTGACAGTTAGTCAACGCGTTTGACCATCCAAGATAACGGTCAAATCTCGGGTTTGGAAAATTTCATAATTTTGATACATCGTTGAGGCCACAAAGTTATAGATCGAAAAAGATTGGCCATAATGTTTAATATGTGAAAAGTTTGGGGCTTACAAATATATTAACTCTACTTCATATTTTAAAACCTTCACAAATAAAACCATATTCACTTCAACCTCTCTTACTGAACACATAGCAGTAGAGACAATAAGCAGCATCCTTAGAAACATTATATCACGGGGTAAATTGCAAGTTTGGTCACTATGATTACTAAAAGATTCACGTTTAGTCATTAAAATATTTAATTCGATTCGCGGTCACTAAAATTAGTTAAATATTTCAAATTTGGTCACTCTCCGTCCAATTCCGTTAATTTTGAGTGATGTGCCTGTTAACTTTCATAGTTGACCGTGTGTGACGTGATAATTGAAAAATAAAAAAGTTAATAACTTTTCCACCTCATTTTCAAAAACTATTAAAAATTAAAAATAAAATTACTTTCTTTAATCTCCTAAAAAATCTCCACCCTTTCAATTCCTCCCCCACGCTTGCACTCTTTCCTTCCTTCTCCATGGCCCATGACCCTCCCTTACCGCCGCTATCATCAACTCCCTCCACCGCCATTTCCTTCCCTTCCGTCGTCACCACCACCACCACCATCTAGAGTGGGTAGAGAAGAGAAAAAGCTTGTGGAGGCTGTGAAGACTTCAGTTCAAACCGGAATCAAGACTTCCTGTTTGTCGATTGTCGTGGAGGCAGAGGCGACTCTAAATCGTTAGTCGGGAAAATGAGCGCGGCGCTATTTGAGATCCACTTAAAGTTGGGGGCTTCAGGTTGTTGGAGATCCACTCGTAGACTCGTGCTGCAGGGGACGAATCAACTACCAAGCCAGACCCACAAAAATGGGTACAATTGTTTTCCAAGACCTACAATCGGAATCTAGAGGTGGCAATTAGGATCCAAATTCATGAATCCAATCCAATCCATCTGCCAAATTATCAACCTAATCCAATCCATTTAAATCCAATTGGATTGGTGGATTGATGGATCAATCCATGGATCCAAATGGCAAATTACGAGTTGGTACCAATATTTTTATATTTTACATTTTGGTACCTAAATTTTTTATTTTATACAAAAATATCAATGGAAAATTACATTTTGGTACCTAAAATTTTTCATTATAACATTTTAGGACCTAAACTTTTCAAAATTTATATTTTGTTCCAAGCCTTGGATGTCATTTGGATTCATGGATCAATCCACCAATCCATGAATCCACCAATTCATTGGATCCAATCCATTTGATCCATGGATCCACCAATCCAATCCACGAATCCGATCCAATTGCCACCTCTAATGGAATCCCATATATTCTTCAGCATTTGGAGCTGGAATCGAAATCAGAATCGAGCCAGAGAAGGACGACGGAGTTTGAAGATCCAGAACGGAAAGCGAAGAGGTCGAAGGGGGAAACCTCGACGAAGCCGAAATTGTTGCGTGATGGCAGGCCGGAAGGTCGGGGTTGTTTTTGGGATATTATAGGAAATTGAATTTTATTTTCATTTTTCAATAGTTTTGGAAGGCAATCTCCGCCTATGCCACAACTTCCTCTTCCTCAAGGCTAGTTGTTGTCTACTCACCAGCCACTAGTTCCCCCTTCTCGGCGACGCTACTTCACCTAAAAACCTAGCAAATTGACCGCTCTTCCTCCTCCATCTCCCCTTTCCTCCCCACGACCACCTCTCTCCCCCATCGTGACAGAGCCTGTTTCACAGTCTGAGCAATTAGGGGAAAGTTCGAGCGAAAGAAGCCCCACGGCAAGACAACCCTCACTCCCGCCCTAACCATGGCCCTCACCGCCATGGGCAACAACGTGCCCAAGAAGTAAGACGAAATTGATGTGGCTCCTCTTCATCTTCCTCCAATCCTTCTTCACCAGCGTCAGTCGACCTAGCATACCTTCCTCCAAACTCGGTCCCTAATATTCTCAAATTCCTAACTAAATTATATCCAAATCCTAACTCGCCAACAACTAATGGATTGGCACTACTCTGCAAATCCATCATCTCTTCAGAGAAGATACTGTAGTCTTTCCCCTTTAGTTGACCTGAAATTCAACTTCCCGTTATATGAATTCGTTTCCAAAATTCTTGAACTCCTAATCCATTATCTTCTCCGCCTTGAAGTTGAAGCTTGCCTTCAGCTCCTTTGCATCTTTCAAATTATGTTCCTTTCATTTCCTCTTTCCTCCGCCTCTGTGGTGAAGAGCCGGCGAAGTGAAACAAAGGGTGTCGACGCCCTCAAGCTTGCAATATTCAATGATGGCGAGGAACAGGGAACAAACGATGATGACGGTGTTCGATGGACGGCGATGATGAGGACGACGATGATGATGAGGACGTCGATGACAATGGCAACAACAACAACAGAGATGGCATAAACGTTGCTAGCTTATATCTGAGCAGCCTCACATGACGACGACAACGCTAATGCCGAGGAGCTGGACTTGGCCTTCGTGAGATTGACGGAAGGGAGCTCCGACAACGACTGAAGGTTATGCCGGCTTGATCTAACCTAACTCGATTTCTTAGAGCCTTCTCGGCACATCTAGAACAGAAAGAGGGGACGACGACAATGCAAGGATGAAGAGGATTCAAATGAAAGTGAGGAATGAGTTGTTTATCAATTTTTTATTTCAAAATTTTATATTAGTTTTAATTTTAATTATAACAATTTCAAATTATGGAATATGTGAGATTAAAGAATTTTTTAAGTTTATTTAAGCTAACTTGGCATTGACGTGGCGCGTTGACCGTTAGTCAATGCGTTTGACCATCCAAGATAACAGTCAAACATCGGGTTTGGCTAATTTCGTAACTTTGATGCATAGTTGATGCCACGAAGTTATAGATCGAAAAGATTGGCCAAAATGTTTAATATGTGAAAAGTTGGGGCTATACAAATATATTAACCTTATGAAGTAAATTGAAATCTTTTGAACATATTGATAGATATAACAACTACCATAATAAATACGACAATAATTCTGATTTTTATTGAGCTAAGCAACATGCATTCAAGCAACTGCATTATCCAGACACTGATATATGCCGAAAGAGACTATCAACCTGTTTTGTTTGCTTCACCTGATTACATAAGGTGTCTAGTAATGAATGCATTATAATTTCAAGGCAAGATGAATTTGCATCTTCAAGTATCAGAGGTAATTTTCTCCAGTTATTAGATTTTCATACTCTCGTGGAGAAGATGTATGTGCAAAGTATGATTGGGAGGAATGCTCAAAGAAGCCTCCAACTAACATATGCAAAGATTCAAAGAGAACTTGTTCGCGCCATGACTTGTGAAACTAATAAGTAAATCATTACGTATATTGGGGGAAAATTTTTCCTGCATATTGGTTAATGGACATGTGATATATCAACGAAAACAAAATGGTTATTGTTTTACACTATGTGAATCATATTGGTTGTGTTATGGAGAGACTTCTTTGTATTTCTCATGTGTTAAATACCAAATCTTTGTCATTGAAAAATTGAATCAACCATGGATTTAGTATGTCCATGATAATGGAAAAAAAAGCTATGATGGAGCTAGTAACATCAAAAGGGAAATTAATGATTTGAAAACTTTGATCTTGGTTGAAATCTTATGAATATATTCAATGTTTTTTCATCAACTTCAATTAGCACTTGTTGTGGTAGCAAGGAATCACATAGACATTGGCAAAGTTTTACAACATTCAATAATGTGACTAGTTTGGTTTTGGGATCTTGCAAACAAGCTGAAATGGTTCGGGATAGCCAAACTAGGAAGCTTGTAGAGGCTATATGCTAATGAACGAGAGGTTGGATATGTATTGAATAAGGAAATGAGTCACAATAGGACAAGAGATACTCGTTGGGGTATTTACTATGGGACACTTCTCAATTTTGAGAACTTGTTATCTATATTATTGATCTGTTGGAGGGAATCATAAATAATCCAACTACATATTCAAAATCTGCCAGTGATGTATGGTGGATGTTCACTACACTTCAAGATTTTATGTTTGTCTTTATGTTGAAGTTGATGATTAAAGTGTTAGCAATTATAAATGAGTTGTCACTAGCATTGCAAAGGAAAGATAAAGACATTGTAAATTCTATCAAACTTGTTGGTGTGGGAAAAACTAGATTACAAGAGATGAGACATCGATGAAGGAGTTTCTATTTGAGGATATTATGACATTTTGCGATAAGGAATCTATTCATGTTCTTAGTATGGACGACGAGAGACAAGCAAGGAAATTGTCAATCCTAATTAGGGATTTTCTCTCATATCTATCGGGAGTCTTTCGAGAGTAAGAGTGGCGACTAGGTTTTCATTAAAAGACCTAATCCCGATCATAACTATTCTACGTCTTTGAGAGATCAAAGAGAGTTTCTAAAGAAGGAAATCGTTCTTCTTTGGGTCTCGAGCATCGCTAAATTGCCTCATGCACTTAGCTTCAAAAGGGAATGTCCTTTTCTACTTATTCTTGAGGGTGTGGGTATCGTGAGCGCCAAGCAATATGGCTGTTGAGAATACACTTGTACCTATAGAGAAAGAAATCGAACTACATTTAAAATAGTTCACAATTGCAGATAATGATGAGAAGCCAATAATAATAGAAGAGTTTGATAAGACGGCTAGGATCGATGAAGCTGTACAGAAGCTAGGGTTAGTAGGAAGACTTGTATCCCTACGAACTCTATAATCAAATCAATGAAGATTTTTTCTAACAAAGACTTGGAGCTTGAAACAAAAGAGTGAGGTTACAGATCGAAGGAAATGCAATAGACTTTGAAGCTAAATATGAAAGAATGCTAAACTTCAGTTTTTTTGGAGTAATAAGACACCATAAACATTTTTGTTGACATCTAAACCCATCAAAAGAAGACAAATATGGTCATTGGATCAAAGAAGGCCACTACCACAGGGTCCTCGAATGAACAGGGAAGAAAGAGACAAAGAATCCAACCGTGGAAAACATTATGCAAAGAATTTGGGGACACTTCAGGCAATAACAAGATGATCTCAGCTACAATTACTAAGCAAATAGCTCCTTTTGTTATGCCTGAAGCAAACTTAACAGATACATAGAAACTAATCAGAATGTCAAAGGAACATGATCAAGGCAAGATAAGGTTTAAAGAGGCCTATAAATGAGAAGAATCCGCTGAGAAAATATGGAATCACAGACAAGCAATAAAAACAGGCAAAATCCCTAATAGAGATATCCTACAACTGGCTATGAAGGCAGAAAAAACATATCAGCCTCGAGCACCAAAAATACTTTTTCTGAAGATGGTACTCCTATAAAGTTTAGTTTGGGAATAGGGGGAGTGGAGAAGTCAAATAAAAAATCCAAGGTCTGAACTAGTAGACAACAACAAAAGGAGAGAGGACTGGATATTTCCAAAGCTCTAACTAGTATAGCAAACGAGAAGCAAGTGACATGGAAATCGATGCAAAGGAAGGAGGACATAAAGGAAACGTTTCCTAACAAGAAACAAAAATTTGAGAAAATGGTTGGCGGAGAGGTAGACCTTGTAGATACACAGCACTGCTCAACCCAATGAGGATTTTAAGCTATAATTGTCGGGGGTTGGGGAATCCCTTTGCAATCAGCAATGTGAGGCAACTGATCCAATGAGAAATCCCAAAATAATCTTCCTGTTGGAGACTAAGAAGAAAGAGCACGAATGGGAAGAGGTGATGCAGGGGTTAGGTTGGGAAAAAGGAAAAGGAGTGAGATGGGATGGGAGAAAGGAAGGACTACTGATGTTGTGGAGGAAAGACTTGAAGGTAACAGTAAAGTCTAAATACATGAATATTATTAATGCATGCATAGAAGATAGATGATATCAGTGGAGATATACATGCATATATGGATGGTCAAAACAAGGAAATAAGGAAAAACTTGCATTTTGATGCGACAACTCAAACACATGACTGATATACCATGGCTGATGAGTGGTGACTTCAACCTAATTCAAGGCTGCGAGGATAAGAATAGACTTAACATGCCACTCATAAAGGAGATGGAAAGCTTCCACGAAATCTTGGAGTACTGTAACTTTGAGGATCTCAGATACTACAGCAAGCCCTTTACCTGGGACGATAACCACACAGATGATACTTTTCTGGAAGAAAGATTTGATAGAATGGTGGCAACACTAGAATGTCAAAGCTACTACCTGCATGCCAGGGTCCATCATCCCAAATGATGTGGATCTGATCATTCCCCAATTTTGTTACAAACAAAGTTAGTTGAAGAGGAAGTAAGGTGGGGTTGTCATTTTTTATTTGAGCCATATTGTCATCAACATGAGGAGTGCAAGCAGGTTATTGCAGAAAGGTGGAATTCAAACAGAGATGTCTTTATCTTAGAAAAATTGTCATATTGCGAAGGGAACTTGAGTAACTGGAGTACGCCGACATTTAGGGAAACTCAAAGCTGAGAGAGTATTGGAAAATTTAGAGAAGAAGGGAACAAATACAACAGTAGTCCTCCTAATGAAAGGTATTGAAAAATAACTTAATGAAATCCTAATGCAGGAAAAATTGAGATGGAAGCAAAGATCTCGAGTAGATTAGCTAAAAGATGGTGATAAGAACACCAATTTTTTTCACCGTTAAGCATTTGATAGAAGAAACAGAAACACTATCGGGAAACTGATAGATGAAGATGGTAGAAGCAGGGAAGGCCAGCAGCATGTCTCAGAGTGTTTAACTAACTATTATAAGCTTCTTTTTTGCAGTTAACTCAGTATCTTTTAATAAAATCATTGATGCCACCCTACCATGAGTGACACAAGACATGGATGAGGAGCTGCTCAAACCATTCACACAAGAGGAGATCTGAATGCCCTAAAGAAATGAGACCTCATAAAGCTCCAAGAGCATATGGGATGCCTGCTAAGAGATTGTTGGACCTGATGTGTCTAAAGAGCTTTAAAATTATCTCAATTCAGGCTCTTTCCCACATGATATCAATCACATGCTACTGGCTCTAATACCAAAGAAGAAGGAGGTTGCATCCCCTATAGATTTTCTCCCATAAGCCTTTGAAAGGTATTATACAAAACCTATCTAAAGTTTTGGCCAACCGACTGAAAGGGATTTTGAATAAGGTTATCATTAAATTTCAAAATGCATTCTTACCTGGTCGACTGATTAGAGACAATGTGAGGATATCATTCGCGTGTTTCAACTCAATTAAATGTAGAAACCAAGGCAGAAAGGGATTTATGTCATCTAAACTTGATATCTTTAAAGCTTATGATAGGGTTGAGTGGGGATTTATGGAAGCTTCTGATAGGGATTCATGCCAGCTAGTCAATGGGCACCGAATAGAAACCTTTTTTTATCCCTCTCGAGGACTTAGGCAAGGTGATCCCATATCACTCTACCTATTGCTTTTTGGAGCAGAAAGGTTGTCAGGTTTGCTATCACAGGCTGAAAGGGAGAATAAAATTGAAGGTATCCAAATTAAAGAGGTGCCCCTCTCATAACTCACCTTATTTTTGCAGATGATAGTGTTTTTTTTTTTTTTTTTTTTTTGCAAAAGCCACTAAGCAAGAAGGTGAACAACGATGTAATATCCTAAATTTCTATGAGGAAGAATTGTGGCAGAAGGTGAATTTGCTCAAATTGGAAATCTCCAAGCCCTAATATTGATGAAGTTAAAAAGTAGGAGATGGCGACATTATGGGCATGAAAGTGGTTGGATATCATGATAAAAACCTTGGTCTGCCTACGGTTGTGATAAGGCAAAAGAAATCTATCTTATGTTACCTAGTTGACAGAGTCCGAAAAAGGTGAAACTATGGAAGAGTTTAACTATTTGTCGTATGGGATAAATGAAGTGATGATAAAGGCAGTGACTCAAGCACAAATGACATACGTTATGCAAATATTCCTAGTGTCGCAAATAGTAATCAATGAAATCCAGTATGTTATCCAGTTTCAGGTGGGGCAGCAGAAACAGGAGTACATAATACATTGGATCAGTTGGAAAGAGCTATGCCACTCAAAGAAGAAAGGGAGTCCGAGATTTAGAAACTTGCATGAATTCAACCTTGCTCTTCTTTGCAAGAAATTGTGGAACATAATTCAAAAATCCTAACACTCTGGTGGCAAGAATGTTCAAAGCGAAATACCACCCTAACAGAGACTTGCTTGAAGCTAAGTTAGGTTACAACCCAAGCTATGTTTGGTGAAGTGTTCTAGCAACCAAATGTATTTTACAGGAGGGCCTAAGATGGATAATAAGGTGGATATTTGGATATTTGGATCGATAAATGGGAATAAGGTGGATATTTGGATCGATAAATGGGTGCCAACCTCCTCAAACCATAGGGTTATCTCTCTCGTCTCTCGGTTTTCTCAGACGACTTTAGGAAGCAAGCTGATTGATGAAGATACAAGGACTTAGAAGACATCTATCCTACAAGCCTATTTCCAACCCCAGGATAGGCATCAAATCTTGAGTATACATCTACCTAGAGGATCGACGCATTTGGTGCCACAAGAAATTAGGCAGCAACACTTTGTAATTAGCCTACCACCTATGGAAGAATAGATAGGAATTGGAGCTAAGAGAACTTTATATGCCTATTAAGAGGGAACACTTTTGGGGACTTCCAATTTCCCTGAAAGTGAAGATCTTTGGGTGGAAATGGATTCTTAATATTTTGTCCAATGGAACGAACACATTGGCTAGAACCCAAAAGGGGTGCGATGAATACCAATTATGCGTACAGAAGGAAACCCAAAGACATCTTTTTCAGGAATGTGGATGTGTTCGTAGAGTTTGGCGACCTAGTTCACTCAATCGTCTATTTGAGAACACACACTTACCTGTGAAGAATGGATGGTGGCCTTGGAAGAATCAGAGATAGATGAGTCCATTGGCCAATTTCTGGTAGCTTTGTGATTTATCTGAGACATCATGCCACCTCACTTTCTCCTTCTACTGCATCATCATGCCGACCACCGTCCTGCTCCCAGAGTTCCACATTCCGAAGTGGGCATCCGTCTACCTCCCCACAATCGTCACCTTGCTCCATGTCGTCGGGACTCCCACCAAGTCGATCCACCTGGTGGGGTTCTGGGCTCTGTTCGAGAACGTCATGTCCCTGCAACGGACCAAGGCGATGCTCATGGGGTTGCTAGAGTTTGGGAGGGTGAATGAGTGGGTCGTCACTGCGATGCTCTCAGGATCGACGTCGCTAATGCGAAAATGCAGAACCTGCATCAACCTGCCAAACCTAAGAAGAAACCACGTCTTGATACCATAATACTAGAGCATGGAAAGGAGTGGTAAACCTCTGCTTTGAGGAATGAATAATCATCAATGGACATTTTTATTGATGGCTTAAAACGAACACTCTGGACGCAGCTGGCCGCCACAACCAGTACCATAAAAAGCATATCATCCCAATTTCAGGTGAACCAAGGATTTATGGAAACCAACCATGACACACTGTTCTGGTAAGCCGTTAACACCACTACGAAATTGTGCCACGAGTTCATATATCTTTGTCAAGTACTCAGTGGCAGACATAGAAGTACAAAAAAAATTGGTTAGCCTCAAAGGCAGAACAAAGAGCAGCAAACCGATGATACTCGGTGACCTTAAACGCTTTTGCATTATTGGAAGCTGACATGTATCAGAATTTAGCAAGCATCAAGATCCCGGCATGGAGGAGGTTTAGGGTCTGTGAGCAGAGTAGTATTGCCTCCTTCTGGTCCACTCATGATACGTTTTGGGTTTTGCGTTCCAGGCTAACAATGAAGAGGAATTTGGTAGTTAAATTCAGAGTAACATCATAGTCGATGAAAGCAATCAAACAGCAGAAAGACTATAGAGGCCTTACTGGCAACTTTTCCCCCTTTCTCAGCAACTCAACAATCTCAACAACTCGTTTTGGAGTGACATCTTCCTGCAATTGGAGCAATTAAACCATCCAAAACAAGTCAAGACTAGCCAACTTTTTTTGCTGTAATGTCCAAAGCAAGAGAAAGATGTTTCATGCACTCACATAATAATTATACGAGTATCCTTCTGATCCATTAGAGTAATCTGCAACGGTAATCATTGGTGCATTTACACAGCTTCCCTGCACAGACAATGAATCTTTGTATAAAGACCATGCCGTGCTCAATAACAGTATTCAAACAAACAGCAAAAGTAAGAGCTATCCTCTTCCTAATAATGGAGAAGCACACACAAAACATTTTCAGAGAGAGTCAAAGAGAGCAAGATTTAACTTCGATCCACTATAGGAATGAAGACTTACCATACATTCCATTTCACCAACAGAGAAGAGACCATCTTTTGTTACTTCTGCACATTAAAAAAATGCACAGCACACTTATTCACTAAATTAAACTATACCACAATTTGAAGAAGAAAAAAGTAGATGTAATCACTGGAAAGGTGCAAGGGTAATTGATCTCTACACATTTCAACTTCACACGGACGAGCAGAAACTTATAAAATTGGAACATACCATTGCGTTTCACTCCTAAGTGTTTCAGTAGCGCATCTTCAATATCTCGAGACCCACGTATCATGCATGGGGTTGTTCCACAAACTAAAAGGTGGTACTTGCCAACCTATAGAAGACGAGAGTTATTCATTACTACTAATATTGCATCGCACTAACTGAAGACCGCAGAATAAAAACTCACTGGGGTGGGGTCGTGAGGGAAAGATTGGAGAATATTACTTACAGGTGTTCGGTTGAACATGGAATAAAATGTTGCAACTTCATAGACGCGAATGGGAGCAACACCGATAACTTTAGCTACCTGAAGTGTCCACAAGAAAGCTTATACTGAGAGAGTTTCTCTCAAAAAATCATACAGTTTGAACAAGATTAAAGTCTTCGGAATTTAAAACAGCTAAGACAGATCAAGTAACTTGAAATGGTCAAGCATATACAGCTGGAAAAAGGCACCACAAAATTGGCCTGCTCCACTGGAACACAAAACATCCAACCTAGTCAGCCCCATACGCTACATGCAAGCATTAGCATCTTTTTTCCATAACGGAATCATTCCACTGAAAGTTCATACGACATCTTAGAAATCGAAGTTTGATCCATGTTGCTGTTGATGGGCAATTGAAACTTGAAATCCATGATTCCAACTGATCTTCTTTCTTATCCTTTTGCAATTGTAGCAAGGGCAATGAGTACGCACAAGTATAGAGGAGGAAGTCATGGTTGATGATTGATTCCAAGGAAAAGGGAGGCGACTAGTGGCTCAAATATTAAATCCTAGTCAGTTCAGCAGAAGTTGGCCAAGGGAAAAGGTGTGCTCCAAGACTTTGGTTTGGAGAATATAAAATTTTCTTACAAACTCTCTACCGGGACATTCACATGATAATATCACTAGCCAAACCCCCAAACTGCAGTACCCTGATACATGCACATAGTCAATTCGTCCCTTTTTTTATGGTATAAGGTCAACAAAACAATTTGACCTTTCAATCAACACAACCGTTTAGAGAGTATTCTGCAACTTGACATACTGACTTCAAATATTAGACTTCAATGCAAAACAAGTGCAAATATAACTATATTAATGAGGAGCTTATATTTTTGTCAAAAGCAATAGAAAGCTAATGTACTTCATAGCTGTTCTCATGCAAATAAATTTCACTTCCATATGGCACCTAAACCCTCAAATCAATTCCAACATATTTATGCATTCACCCTTACCGCATTCATTGCCGAAACTGGAAGCCATCCTCCATGCTGCTGTTGCGCCAGATCTAGCAGGGGAATTACTGCAGATTGCTTGTAGTTAGATGGGTAGTGAGATATTATCTCTTTAACCTGACAACAGAGTACCAAACATTAAAAACGAAGATCAGACATCAGTGCGTAAATAAGGAAATTAGTTCTACCAACAAGTTGGATATTACTGCACTCATTTTAAGGTAGGAGACCATTTTAAAAGCACGGCAAAAGAACTCCTTAGAGGATTTAAATCGGTTTTAGTTTTGGTTACATTAGTCCTTCCACATACTAGAAGCTCACAGAAACAATAGCCTAGTTAGACAGGATTGCTAAGGAAACAATATTTGTTGGACCATATCACACTTTTACTTCAAAGCCATGCAGTCTAGAGTAAATTTAAGATAAACATCATTAGATAGTTGAAAACTGATCTGGAGTCATTCTTGCAAGCATATATTTCATCGACAATATATCCTCAATCACACCAAAAAGTGAATAAGAATCTTTTATTGCACAAAAGCACTCCAACAAGCAAGTCAATTTTTTTCTCAACCAATACACAGAGGCATAAACGACTCAAAGCAAAAAAAGGCCCTACAAAGATTATGAAAAAAAATGCAACAAGGATCCTGCATTGATTCACAATTTGTCAAAGACGATAAGTCTTAGAGGAATTGAGTCACTTGGTAATCCATTCACATGAACCAAGAAGCTTTGCTAAATCCCGTAAAAGCAGCAACTTATATAAGAAAGACAGCATGATAATGAGATTGTATCGTCAAAGCATGAGAGGGAGCAAAGATGATACTGGATTTTCTAGCAATCTGCGCAATCCCGACCCAAAAGGCAAAATCATATGGTCATGTTTTCCTCTATGATATGAACAAAATCCAACATTGAAGAAGGTAAAGAAACCATTCTATTTTTCCCATGATTCAGCCCTTCACTAGATATGGCTCAGAAGTTCGTCCAATAGCACACCAACCAAAAACATTGGGAGCTACATTCGCATATAGTTTCAAAACGTTGAGAAAGGTGCAGTCTGCTGTGTTGAAATTTAGTATAAAATTACTAATTTCTAGTTGAACATGAGAGAAATGAAGGACAGAAGCGTGCCACTGGAATGTAACGCTATTCAATTCAATTCTCCATTCGATCAGCCTAATCCACAGAACCCAGAGAAATGCTCTGTAGATTGCCATAACTTTCAGTCATTACCTTCTCTTGGTTTTTGGAATTGAACTCCCATGGCATGTCCGGATTGTTATCCGGTGAATCGATGTGCTGCAGAGAGATAAACCATTTCTCACACACAAAAACCAAAACAAAAAAAACATCGAAAAAAACGGAAACCGACAGGGAAAAAGATCAAGGAATTCGCATATGGCAAATGACTCACATAGTTGAGAGCAGTTGAGAACGAACGGGAAGCCTGCGGCGAACGAGAGAATCAAATTACAATAAGTGAAATGAGATTCGGCGGGAGTCTTCGATCGGGCGACTGAAGAAAGAAATAAAAGGAGTGGAAGAAGGGAATGGTGACCTGAGCAGCTCCCCGGAAAGCTTGACGGATCTCCAGGAGGCGCGTGGCTGCCAGACGACCTAGCATTTTCCCCAAATGGTGACGACAGACGACGGACGTGTGGGGATGGACGCGACGGAGCTATAAAGCTGAGTTTCGGGAACACAGAGTTGAGTTGGGCGTACGGAGACAGAAATGAATGCCAAAGGGCCAAAAGCCCAAAACCAAATATGCCGCTAGGAGTTCGGCCTCTTCCTAACATCCACCGGGTGTGCTGTACGCACATGGCAGATAAAAGCAATGGACCTCTTCAGGCCCATTCGAAAATCTTAACGGCCTAGTAATTAAGTTTAAGGCCCGGCTCAATCTATCAAGCGTGTATCTCTGAGCTGAGAATGGCGCAAAGGGCCCATTTCATTTCCGCAAGCGGCGCTTTGAAAATCTAAAATCCTCTCCTCCGAGCTTCCAGGGCTGCGCTTCATTCCTTGAACAAGAAGAAGTGAACGGGAGCTTAACAATGGCGTTGGAGAGGCTGGCGGCGGTGTCGTTCTCGAGTAAAGTATCTTTCTGCATCCCAGTTAACCCTCTGGCCAGCGGGAACTCGACTGGTTCGTCGTTGTTTACTGCTCGGCGGCCGGGCTACAAACCATTGGGATTCAACCGTAGGTTTAAGTGTTCAGCTGATTACAGAGGCTACGACCAGTACAATCAGGCGGTTGTTGGGTACGAAAGGCCGGCCGAGATTCCGTGGAATAAGGAGCTCGCCAACGGGGTGCAGCTCATCGGCGTAGTGGGCGCTCCCGTCGAAATCAAGAACCTAGCTTCCGGCAAGGTCGTTGCGTGGACGAGGCTCGGGTTCAAGAAGTCTGCCGCCGATACCTGCTGGTAAATCTCTGCTTACACTTTCTACGCCATTAATAATCGGGGAGTGTAGGGTGTTGAATTAGAAATGGCAATAACTCTGTAGTGATAGTGCATCTCCCAAATTGGTGGTTTCCCCAGGATAAATCTTACATTCTGGGACGAATTGGCGCAAACTGCTTTTCAGCATGTGCAGAAAGGGAATCAGATTTATGTGTCTGGTCGATTGATTTCAGACACAGTTGAGAATGAGGACGGGAAGGTCCAGACATACTACAAGGTTTCGTGCTGTCGAGATGTCAATCAATACCACGATACAATGATTTGTTAAGTCTGTTCATTTTTCCCCCCGTAATCCTCGCAGGTAGTTGTCCAGCAGTTTAATTTCATCGAAAGAAATGGATCTTCTTCATCATCACCATCATCACCGTCATCATCATCATACGATGAAGAGTTTAACATGAACGCTTCAGGTACGATGTTTTTTTGTTCAGTTAGTTGGTACTACATGTGAGTTACCAGTTTCGAGCTTGTTCCTTCATCTAGATGAACATCTATGCCATGCCAGCAGGTAGAAAGTTCAACAATAACAGCAACAACAACAATACTTCAAACATGGGTTCCATAGAAGAGCAGTGGCAAGCATTTTTCGCTAGCCCTTACGAGTGGTGGGATAATAGGAAGAACAAGGTACTTTCTTATGCTCATTTTGATTATCTCATCATTGTCTGCCTTGTGACATGAAAATTTAACAGCATGGATGAGATGATACACCCTGCTGGCACTTGTCTTAGCCTGTCAGTTGAATTGTACTGTCTCGTATGTACTTGAACGCTCTCACACATCTGTTACAGTATGTAGTAATTTGCGATATGTGTTTTGGGATACAGAGAAACCCGAAGTATCCAGATTTCAAGCACAAAGATACAGGGGAATCATTGTGGGTCGAAGGGAGGTATAATCCATCATGGGTGAAGTCTCAGTTGGCAATATTGGACGAGAAGATGGGGTCTGTTCAGGATGAGAATGGCAGGAAGGATCTGAGTCCCCTAGGGAGCGACGAATTCCTGTCATTTTGATGGTTTTGCGTCCACCTTCCATGGCATCTGTGTCACACTCCTTTAACAGTTGAGTTGATTGAAGTCAATTTCACATGGAAGTAATCTGGCGTTAGTTTGTACATTCTCTACTGTAGTATTACTCCATGACCCTTCCATATGGAAGGTTTTTTGGAGCTCTGACCTTGTGTGCTTGTCCTTCTTTGGTTAAGTTTTGTCACCTGTATGCTGCTCGTTGGTTTTGGGGCTCTATGGGGCCATAAGGCAAATTTTTGTATTGCATCGCTAATGGATATGGAATGGATGTACTGATCATGTAGTATTGCTATCCACTATCCTTGATAACGTATGTCGCGGAAGCCACTGGGTTAGCTTATTACCGCTGGTTTCTGATGATGACTTTAATATTGCTCTGCCGTTATCATTAGTTGAATTCTTGTTTTCCTACAAGAAAACCTTACGAGGCTAAATACATCTGTATAGCCAAAATTTTGACGATTTGGCCAAATATAGTCACGTTTCGCGAAATATTAAAAATAGCCACTTCCGTCCAATTGTTTGACGGTGTTAGTTAACATGTTGACTAGACTAACGGAAAAGCTGACGTGGCAAAAATTTCGTAAGTAATGCCATGTGGATTTAACTTTAAAGTATAAAAATTAAAATTAGAAGTCTCCCCCTCTCCCTCATTTTCTCCAATCCATCTTCTCCTCCCTTATCTCTGTACAATTAATCGAGAATCCCCCATTCACGCCGGAAAAAAATCTCCATTTTGTGAACTAATTCCCTCTTCCTCCGATCCATTTTCTCTTATCCCATCTTTTGCCTTGAATGGGTGAGATATTCGTTCTTCTTCTCCTTATCTTCTTTTCCGCAAAATGGACGAATGAGTGAGAGGTTCTCTAAGCTAGGAAAAGCACAGTGAAGGGAATTTCAATTTCCCCACCGTGATAGCGACCGGCTCGTCGGAGAAGAAGGCAGCGTCGAGATCAGTGAAGAGATCGAAGCATCCGGGCAACCAGCAGATCTTGTAGGCGATTCACGCGCTCGGCGACGACGAATGCATAGTCGTCGAAGCTGGGGTCGAGGGGCCAAATCTCGATGTCGAGGACGCCGATGATGATGCTGTTGGCGGAGTTGAGGGGGAGAGGCCGAGGTGGGAAAGGGTGTGAGTGGTGTGGAGGTGGTGGATCTGGTCAGGGACGACGTAGAGTATTCCCGCGGTGCGGAGGAGGTGGGAGGCTTGGTCGGCAGTGAGGGAGGCCCGACGGCGGTGTGGGATTAGGTTTAGAGGAGGGTGGGGGTATAAGAAGGGAAGGAGACTCGCAGCAGGGAAGATGAAGAGTTAGAGAGAAGGACGATGACCACTAGCGCTGGAGGGAGAGGAGAGAGGATGTAAAAATAATTTTGATTTTTTATTTATTTTTAAATTAAAATATGACATGACATCTATGTGGCAAGTGTTGTTAAGCTGTTGATGATGTGTCTGGTGAGTTGGCAGTCAGATCATTGTTCCGTCAATTTGACTAACGGTGTCATTGACGCCGTTAAACTATGTAACGGAAATGTATTATTGTCATCGAACTTTCAAATTTCTGATTATTATTGGTATTTCCCCAAAAGTGGCTATTATTGTCACAAATGTCAAAATTTTGGCTACACAAATGAATTTTGCCTAAAATTGATTGCACTTGTGACTTTAATCAAACTTCTTCAAACGTAGTACGAACAAGTGTGTTTGATTGACAAAATTTTGGGAATGGATCTACATTAAATTATATCTACTCCTATGGAGGATCAGTGAGAGCTCCAAATAACGATTATGACTATTTGCAGAGAAAAAAAGGATAAAGTCTGACGCAGACGTCAATTTTCTGGTTGTAGAACCTTTGTCTATGTCGACTTCTCCTCCTATTTATAGCCATGAGGAGGTAACCGTCATAGAAAACCGTCTATTGGATAACTGCTACAAAGAACTGCTTTCTCTTCTTCGAAGTGATGGTTACTCCTTCTACCGCCTAGGTGCCTCTCTTGGAACTATCATAGGTCTTGAAGTTTAGCTTGTCTTGCCTAGTCTTGTTCCAAATCTCATGTCATGCTAGTCTTTTGATGAGCCCGTGGTGTTAGGGGGTCGTGTTCCTCTTGCCTCACGACCATGGATTTCTTACTCGTGTCCATGGCCCTCTTGTCTCACGACCATGAAACTCTTGGGACTTAGTCGCATGACTAGTGATATAATGCTCAACCACCACGTCCTTCTCACTCGCGAACCATGACCCTTCTCGCGACACAACCATAAAACTCTCAATAATGCACATGGCCCCTCTCATGAGGCGGCCTTACATTCCCAGACTTAATATGTTTTTGGGAGTTCGATCTCGGTCATGAGGCTTGATCTCATGGCATGGTCTCTACATTCAAGGCCATACCATTCTCATTTGTGTCCATGACCCTTCTCGTAGCACGAGCATGGTCTTCTCATACTTAGAATTTTTCAATTGTGTCTAAGACCTCTTGTCTAGCGTCCATGCCCCTTCTCGTGAAGCGGCATGAACCTCTCAAACTTAGTCATTTTTGTCTACTTTAGGAGATGCTTCTCGTGGCATGGCCTCTTGACATGTAACCATGCCATGTGGTCTTCATCGCCACCATACCCTCCTTATGAGGCGACATGGCCTTCACAGACTTAATTTTTTTTAGACATCCTGGTGTCATGACATGACCTCCTAGGTCATGTCCATGCTCGCTATAACTTAGTTGCTTGGGCTTAAAATCAATATCTATGAGAGCTAACTTAAATGACATTATTTATTTTAATTGATGTGACCTTATAAAATCCTTAATTACCTTGTAACTTATTAATGTGGTACAGGATAATTTTTAGGTGTTAACACCAACCAAATGCTTTCTCAACTAAAGACTAAATAGAGTGAGGTTTCCAGTCCTTGTTCTCTTGGTTCCTTGTGAATATTGAAAAAATTGGAAAGGTGTTTGACGCATTGCATTGGTATGTTCAACCCTTATATGGGTATCCGATTTGATCCAATTTGACCCAAATGGTTGTGTTTTCCTTTATTTGGGTTCGCTTTTATGGGTTGAATCCATCTGGGTTTAGTTGGATCCACCCTGATATTCATATATGGTTGTGGGTGTTAAATGTTAATGATACTAGTCACAACCAAAATTAAACAACCTGAATGGTGACAGTCCACAACTATACTAAAATTACATGACCTAAATGATGACAGCCCACAACTATACTAAAATTATACGACTAAAATGGTGAAATACAAAAGCAAAAACCGAAGGAAGAAAACTTGTACAGTCCAAGATAAATAATACAAAACCCAACGCTCTCCATTGTTGAAGCATAAGGGTAAAATGATACCCAACTTAAAAAGATGAAATTGATCAGCGCTCAAGGACTTGGTGAAGATCTCGAGCCAATTGATCATTGGAGCTGATATTGCAATGAATGATCTCACTAAAAGTAACATGCTCACGGATAAAATAACAATTCATATTCGTATGTTTTATTCTCTTGTGAAAGACAACGTTAGAGACGTTATGAATATAGCTTTGGGAAATTTATCAAAATAAATGGTAAAAAAAATTGTTTCCATTTCTAATCGGTGAAGCAGATAATTTACAAAAGTAGTCGATTGGAGGGGTTATTTAGTACGAGCGCTTCCAAAGGGGCGTGAACGCCTTCATAGAAGCATTATCGCTATTTTTTGCGGTTTGCATCCCTATTTTTCATCTAGCAATCGATTGGCTTGGTCGAACCGTAATTGTAACGACGTTATTATACGAGTGATGTCGTTCATATTCATGTGTCATTGTTCACTTTTTCCTATGTTTAGTTTATCATTGGCTAAGTTAATTTATGTTTGTTTGCACGTGAGTTTTTTTTATGTTTATATGGTGGGGATGTGTCATCTCGGAGACCAACAAAGGGATTAAATATGAAGGTGGGGAATATAAAACCTTCAGAATCAACAAAGTTGTAAGTTGCAAGCTATTACGAAAAAAAGCTGAGATCGATGTTGGCTTTGGAAGAGGGCCAAGAGATAAGATCCATCACTTATAGGAGTCGTGTGATTTCTGAGAATGGAATATCACATCTCTCCAGTTCTTATAAAAAACGACATGTGGTTGATGACCATATACCAAATGGTCTCATTGCTACCACCTTGGTATGACCATGCAGAATTGTATGTCGAATATGGGCCGAAAAGCTTCACCGACTTACTTGAGGAGGAAAGCGTATGTTCATCAGTACCAACAATGTCATCATCTTCCTTTAACAATAATAATGAAGAGTATCTTAATGTCTACAATGGTTGCCTACCAAGCAGCGAAGAAGATTCTATGGGTAATTATGAACCTAGCAGTAAGTCTAATAGCATTGCTAGCGACATCGAAACTGCAATTTCACATTCTGCTTCTATTTCACCATCACATTATACAAATCTAGCTGAGGGCACTGAAAATCTGATGTTTGGAAGAAATCATTGTCCATAAGTACCTGAAGGTTATAAATTGGGATGAAACGAGGGATTTCTATCCTGGTGTCTCTTTTAACTCAAAGGTTGAATCATCCAACGCACTAAAGGAACATGTCATTATAAGACAATTCCAAACCTATGTATTCAAATCTAATCCTAGGCAACTGGTCGTGAGATGTACTTCGCACAAGTCTATGGGTTTTCCATGGAAGGTTAATGTGACGGACAGAGATGATGGTGAAGCATGGGTCGTGCGAGAGGCAAACTCACAAGAAGATGGATTTAGAGCTGATTTCTAACTACATCAAACATTTGGTCCGCGCACAACCTAATATACAGATCAAAACTGTCATAGTTGAATGTGCAAACAGATACAACGAAAACCCTTCACATAAGAAAGCATGGTATGGGAAGCAACGAGCAATTGAGTAAGTATACAAAACTAGGAGCAGTCATATACGAAGCTTCAACACCTCATGCTTGCGTTGTCTGCTCGAAATCCTGGATTTAGTTACAAGTGGGATCGCATGCGAGTGATGCTCATCCAAGTTATCGCATCTTGCAACATTGTTTTGGGCTATCCAACCATGTATTGAGGGCTTCAAACATTGTATGCCTGTGATTTCTGCTGATGCCTTGATGGTACCTTTCTTACTGGTAAGTATAAAGGGGTTTTGCTGATGGCATGTGCTCAAGATGGTAATAGAAAATTATTGACTTTGGCATTTGCAATGGTAGACAGCGAGAATACTAGGAGTTGGCACTGGTTTTTCGAATGCCTCCAACAATGTGTCACCCAACGGGAAGGCCTTTGCATAATATCTTATCGTCATCAAGGTATTCAAAATGCAATGGAGAATATCAGGTTTGGATGGAAATGGGAGTGGTGCTTGTGCCATTATATGTCTAACTACAATACCCACTTCGAAAATAAGGATATGAAGAAAAAGATTTGGCCAATTGGTAAGTTCAATATTTGGTGTACTTGATAGATTAAATTGGTATAAAGTTTACTCTT